CATCTTCACTGGTTGATAAATACCATCCCATTCAGGAATCATTGGTTTATTATAACCAGTACCATTTCTAATTGTTTTAATCTTATCCAATAAACCTAAAATTTCCTTCAAAATAGCAACCTTTTCCATAGTCAATTCTTTACCAATATTAATCAATTGCCAAAAAATTTCACCAAATCCACGAGCTGCCAATTCAACTCTTTGTGGTTGCTGAGTATTTGGTGTAATACCATTACCTTCAGCACCAACGACAACATTAGCATCAATACCAGCCCCAACAATATTTTCAGGGCTCAAAACTTGAGGGGTTTGTTCATTACCAACCCCTTGAGCTCTAATTTTAATCCCTTTTTTAATCAGATACTTGGTTTTCATTCCATCTCCAAGAATTCCAGATTGAGAAATGACTTCATCACTTGGTTGAGAAATTGCTGCATGATCAATAGTTAACGCATTTGCTAACTGAGCAAGAATTATTAAATTTAAAACTTTCATACTTAGTTTATGAAACTTTGAAATTTATAACTGTGGGTATAGAATAAAAAGAAAAGAAAAGAAGAGAAAGAGAAAGAGAAAAGAAAAAGAAGAATGAAAAATCAGACAATAGCATCCATTGATATAATTTATACACTTATGAGTTGAATTGTAATAGTTCCCTTAAAATTTATAATCAAGCAATCACTATTCAATTTTGTTGGGGATTTTGAAAAGTTGTAAAAAAAAAAAAAAAAAATTAGCAGCAACCCCTCCAATACAAAAAACCAAGGATGAATATTTCTTGTGGTTGAAAAGTATGTGGCTTATTTGTTGTGTTTTTTGCAATGCTAAGTTTATTACAAAATCAGAAAATGTAAAATAAGGAAAGTTTTTGCACCCAATGGTGGTGAGAAGAAATACAAACAAATAGACAAACGTGTACAAGGACATACAAACAAAGCAAACCCACCATGGGGTATGTATTCTACATTTTGTGTTCTATATCCTTTAAACATCCCTTAAAGGATTGAATTATTCAAAAAAGGAATTCTTTCGAAAAAAAAAAAAAATTAATTAATCTATTAAATTATATGCCATGTAAATAAATGTAAAAATAATTATCAGTATTAGTAGCAACGTCTTCAAAAATAGGAATGGTTTTATAAACGTTCATATCCTCCATTAGTCACAAAAAAAAATAAACAATTTACAAACAACATTAATGAATATGTATCCAAAAACAACAACAAATAAAATGCTTCATTTAATCCATTACGAAACTCTATTGGACACCAACTCATAAGATTGGTTATTGTTTCCATTTGAGCCTCTACTACCTGAACGTCTCGATGTCATCTTGGCAAATAATGACCCAAAATTGACAGTTGCTTTTCTCTTGACATCGTTAAATTCTTTTAATGTGCCGTTTTTCAAACTAAACACAGAATCACCCAAATTACCGGTTTCCAAGTCAATGCTAAAACTTTCCTTAGCTTCAAGCTTTGGTGGACTCCATCTTTTAAGTAATAATGAACTGAACACGACACTTAAAGAACTAAACATCATTGCTGCACCAGCAGCTATTGGAGGCAACATAATATTCAAAGGTAAAAAGCAACCCATAGCAAATGGTAACATCAATATGTTATAAACCATAGCCCAAATAAAATTCAACTTAATTCTAGAAAATGTGGCGTTGGATAATTTCAATGCATTGACAATACCTTTCAAGTCAGCACCTCTGCTACTTCCACTGATTAAGACAATATCAGCACTTTCAATAGCAATGTCAGTACCAGAACTAATTGCAATACCTATATCCGCCTTTGCCAATGCTGGTGCATCATTAATACCATCACCAACAAAAGCCACACAAACGCCATCTCCAAGATTTTCCTTTAAATCGGTGATAACCTTATCCTTGTGAATTGGTGAAACTTCATAAAAGACATTTTCTGGTGAAATACCAACTTCTTGAGAAATTTTCATAGCTGCACCATAATTATCACCCGTCACCATACCAACAATATAGCCGTCATTCTTCAAATAACTAACAACTTCCCTGGATAATGGCTTCACTGTATCTGTCAATTCTATGTATCCTGCATATTCGCCATTAATAATGACGTAGGATACAGTATTCTGTGAATTGGACTTTTCATCAAAATCATTCAACATTTCCGGAAGTTTTTCAGACATCAACTTCTCATTACCAACGAAAATATTGTATGTTTTACCACCATTTAAGGTGATTGAGGCTTGAATACCCATTCCAACCAAAACATTAACTTCATCAATAATTGTATCAAAATGGTCGTCATCAAAACCTAAACCCAATTTTTGTTTCGCAAGTTTGGTTAATGCAACCCCAATTGGATGTTCAGAATTACATTCAACTGACCCAATTAACTTCCACCAATCAGCATCAGAAAGTTTAGACAAGGATTTGTAGTTGACTAATGACATTTCACCTGTAGTTAATGTACCAGTCTTGTCAAAAAGAATCACGTTAATAGATGTAGCCTTTTCAAGGATATCAGCACCTTTGATCAAAATACCGTGAAGGGCACCAACACCAGTACCTACCATGACAGCAGTTGGAGCAGCCAAACCTAATGCACATGGACAGGCGACAACGACAACCGAAATTGCCAATTTCAAACAAACAAAAAACTTACCATTAACTTCTTCACGGAAAATCTTTGGTAACTCTTCAGTATGCATTGTGAAACAGGCAACCATCCAGGCAATGAATGTAAACAAAGCTAAAAGTAATACACATGGGACAAATCTTGCGGCAACGAAATCGGAAAATCTTTGTACAGGAGCTTTTGTTACTTGGGTATCTTTGACCAAGTTGATGATTTGTTGCAATTGAGAGTCTTTACCAGTGTGGGTGACTTTGATATGAATTAAAAATGGTCCATTGATTGACCCACCAATGACTCGATCATTAACAGTCTTGTAAACCGGTAATGGTTCACCAGTGAGCAAAGATTCATCTATTTCCGTTTCCCCATAAACAATTTCACCATCAGCTGGAATTCTACCACCTGGGTAAACAATAGAGTAATCATTTGGTTTAAGCAAATCAGTGCTTACTGTCTTTGTAGCAAAATCTTGAAGGGCAGCTTGAGTTTTGCTGTTTAATTTTTGTTGTTGCATAAATTCCTCATACTGTGGGACATCACTGATGATGGTACATGTTGGTGGAGTCAATGATAACAAACTAGATAATGCTGTTGAAGTAGCACCTTTTGCTTTGTTTTCCAAGAATTTACCAAAGGCAACGAATGAAATGATCATAACAAGAGTATCAAATAAAACAGCTGGTGGACCACTTTCTGTTCCATAAATTATACTTACCAAAATCGATGTAAATGAAAAAAGATACGAAATGGATGTAGAAATGGCAACCAAGACGTCCATGGTGGCATTTTTGAAGCCAGTTCTCAAAAAGGATGAGAATTTCTTAAGGAATGGTTTGGCTAGTTTCAACTGTATATAGGTAGCCAAAGCCAATTCTAATAAGGACAGTAAGTATAAACCCGGGAATATCATAGTCTTTTTCCAAATTGCAAAATTCTTTGTATGATTCATGAACAAGACTGGTAAACCAAAAATGATACTTTGTATGAAAATACTCTTCCAGTATTCAATATCCTTGGATTTTGACAAGACCTCTAGTTCGGCTTCGGTATCAACGGTTTCAATTTCAACGACATCGAACCCACAATCTTCTATAGTCTCGACAAGTTCTTTCCGGCTAATTGAAGAGTCATGGACAATAGACCCTCGTTCCGTCACCAAACTGATGGATGCAGAAATAACACCTGGTTTTGATTCTAGGGCTTCTGTGATTGATGCGGAACAAGCACCACAAGTCATTCCACTTATTCCGAGCACAGTCGTAGTTGTTTGCAGTTGTTGTGAAGGCATGGATGTCTGATCAAGTTGGCTGTAAGTTTGAATTAATAATAAAGTAGTGATGATTTTTTTTTTCCTTCCCGTTTCTGTCTTTTGTAGGGGGAAATCAAATTCTGTTTTACTGTTGCTGTATGGGTGTCTTTTCCAACGGTTAGAAAGAAAAAAATAAATATCCAGGAACCTTCTTCACTTGAATTTTCTTGTAAAGGGGATTATTTGATGATCTTGTAAAAAGAATTCAATGGGGTGGGTTCTTTTTCTTTTAAAATTATTTATAAGGAAAAGTTCATCGATTTTATAAAAGTAAAAAGTATGGTTAAATTTTTTTTTTTAGTTTTTAATTTGGGTCTAATTTTTGTGTATTAGCATTGTAGTGAAGAGAGATGAAAAAAAAAAATTAATCTAATCCATCAATTCTCGGGTTTAAACATCAGCCAATCATAATTGTTTGTTTGATGTGAGAATTTTGTTTCCATTAACAATTTTAATTTCCCTTCACACAAAATAAACAGTACTGTTTATGTTACAGAATGTATGGATGGAACAGCATGTGCTGTTTTCACCTATTGCACTATCTATTCCATCTCCAGTTTCCTGTCAAAAGATTGACAGTACGTCTAGTACTCTTTTTTTTTCTTGTTTCTACGTGTGCTAACTTGAATTAACCATCATATTCTTCGAAAAAATTGAAGGATCTCACAAGTCTTACACAATAATTGGTCTTGTTTTTGGGTAAGGAAATTTCCCTTCTCCATTTTTCGCTCTTGAATCTTTAAGAAACGGGAGATATTACAAGGTCGTGCATTTTGGATAAATACCGTTAGATATAGACCAATTGAATCACTTAAAAAAATTGGATCATCAAGAACTAGGTGAATTGTACTTTTGATTCACTTCTGGTATTCTGTATGTGACTCTAGGTTCAACCAATGCAGAATGAACCTTCCCTGAAAGAATGGAATGGATGGAGATTATTGAACCCCGAAAATTGTTTCAATCAACATCAATAAATGTGGCAGAGTCGTAGATACACTAGCTAATATTTACCGAAAACTCCCTTCAATCAGTGGAACATAATCAAAATTGAAAATATAACGGATAATGAATATCAAACTTGTGCTGTTCCGGCTATCACCTGTCAAGGACTATAATTGAAATTCACTTACAAGCTTTAAAAACTATAGAGTTCATTACTTTTCTCCCAAAACAAGGCACCTTACAGATAACCATGATCATAGAATGTTAGTAATAACCGAAGATTTTATTTGTCGTATCAAATAAAGTTGCAATATTATGCAGCCATTTATGCAGAACAAATTTGGTTTATACACGAATTGTGACAATTGTCCATATATGAAATCCGAATTGCAAGACGTTGAACAACAGAGTCATCTTTCCCAAGAATGATTAGTATGTTTCAAATTTGTGTATATTCAATCGCGATGATTGTTTTCACAGACAGAATTCATAATTCCTCGAGAAGATACTACCTAAACATTAGTTACTCTTCTAGTACTACAACTTGAAAACTTATTCAAAACCTCAAAATACATCATTTAGCCCATTCAACTTCAAAAATAATCTCCATCTCTCGAGAAATAAGAACTGAATGATCATCGATCTTTAATTATTCTCATTTTCTTTTGTTCATTCTGTGGGCTGTTAATTCTAGAATCATTGTCTCCAATTATGTTGAATTCCAGCCCCCCCCCCTTTTGTCTAAATTCTGCCACTCGTTTCATAATATAATAGAACAAACTAAAAAGGTTAAAATGTATTCAAACCATTAGCAATATTTTTACAGGCTGGATTCAAGCAAGGTTTTCTTACGTTTTTGGTTTTTGTGCTATATAATTAAGCCACATGAAATAATCCTTGCCAACAGATGAAACGCAATTATATTACTTATACAGTATATCGATTGATAAGTTGAATAGAAGAGCCATTCATTGAATGTGATTAATCTCATCATTGTTTGATACCGGGTATATATACACATTTCTGCTTTAACGAACGCAACACTTGCTCAATAAAAATTATGACCACACAATCTCTTGAATCTCATCGCATCTTCTTTTTTTTCCCTTTGACTCCGAAGAATCAATCATTTGAGAGCAAAATGTAAATATACAATCAGTTACATTACAAACCAGAAGTGATTCAAGTAAATCAAAAAGAATGGTAGTAATACAACGTGGGCAATGTAAATTAATGCAGTTACCCACTTTTTCTTATCTTGCACATAATTTCGATTTGACCCATTGATAATTTCTTTATTTTATTGTGTATTATTAGGTAATAATTTAATGCGCCAACTTTGTACAGTAAGGGTGGATATTTGGTTGGCGGCACCCACGTGTTTATCCACAAAACGTGGTGGTAGCAAATAAGAATAAAAATATTCTCATTTTTATTTTTATGCTACCATCCATTAATGTTATCTTTCCTCCTCGCCCCTCCACATTTAAATATTTATTGTCTTGTATTTGATAATACTATAACTTCAGAGAAGGTTGCATTATAAAAAGAAGAATTCCATGGGGTATAATATTATTTGACATAATTGTGTCTCTTAGTGTCGACATCGTCGTATTCCTTTGTTAATCCATTTTTCTATTTATACTTATCTACAAGTATCTACCTTGACTTTTTTTTTTTTTTTGCTTTTCCTTTTTTTTACTTTGATTTCAACATATCAGAATTACATTCATCTTCTATTGTAGTTGATAATTATTTTTAGTAAAGTCCAAGCAATTTGAAGAGACTAATAGTACAGAAACATTAATTTATATTAAGTTCTATTTTGTGTGATTCTGAAGAAAAGTCACGTGGCGAATCATTCATTTATTCCCACCAACCCACACACAGAGAAACATTCATAATAAAAAAAAAGAAAAGAAAAGAAAGAAATTTTCTTTTCGATCATCAAAGCAACTTCTTTCTGACAAGGGGACTACAATACTTTCGTGGGTGATATACAGCACATTATCAATATCAATATCAAATTATCTTTACTTGGAGCGTCGGCATACTATTAGAACATTGTCAACATATACAGATGAAATAGAACAGTATTAATTACGAGGAAAGAAAGAAAGATCTAAAAGAACGAAGAACGAAGCATTTATATTTGGGGGGCAAGATGATTGAATTAGATACTAATAATTATGTTAAAGCGACACATTTACATTTAAAACTTCATATTAATTTAAAAGGTTCAAATGATTATTTACTACGATATCTAAAATCACCTTCTAAAAAGGATTATTTATATAACCAACAATCCAAACAGCAGCAACAACAACAACAACTGCATCTTCTAAAATCGAACAGATCATCGACTTCATTATCATCCAAGTTATCACCAACTTCAAGTAAACAATTTGCATCTAATGATAAATCATCGAGACTACTACCGAAGAAACAGCTTATTGATCAACCACAAAAGGAAGAATCAAATCAAATTGTGGTACCAAATCAATCAATAGATTGTGACCCGGAAATTGTGATTATTCTAATAAATCGAATGTTGACTTCTTTAATTAAAATTAATGATACTACTACTGCAAATACTCCACCTACCAGGTTTCACAGCAAAACTCCACCTTCAATACAAATATTTTCATACCTTAACCGTTTACGAAAGTTTAATTGTTTAAATCCAACCATTTTACTTACAACCATATATTATATTGATGTGTTGTCTTATAATTATACATGTTTTAGTTTGAATTCATGGACAGTTCATCGATTTTTGTTGGTTGCAACTATGATTGCTCAAAAGGCATTGGAGGATTTTTTTTATACTAATGACCATTATGCTAAAGTTGGCGGGGTTTCGTTACAAGAATTGAATTGTTTGGAATTGGATTTCTTACAACGAATCAACTGGAGAACTATTCCTATACATAATCCTAATGTTCAGCAATTGTATTATCATAAGTTGGTGGAAATGACTGGTAAGTCATCGGCCAGTAATGATGATACTGAATACAAGTTGACAAAATTCATAATAAATACTGAGCAAGAACATAAAGACCAAGATCTAAGTGATTACGAAGAGGAGGAAGATGATGAGGTTGAAGATGACGGGTTCTATGATAGTGATGAAGATGACGAGGAGGGAGAAGATGAAGATGATAGTGAAGATGACAGTGATATATTGGATCCACAACATACAAATGGTTTTCGTGGAGATCATGAAATGGAAGATGCTGATACCGTTGCATCTGAAATCCCTCCAGATATTCCTATGTATAAATATGACAGTCAAGGTTTCAGCATAGATGGTACATCGTCACCACATTTGAAAAGAAGATATAGTAGTGATTAGTAATGACGTTAATTTAGAAACAGGATAAACTATAAAATTGATTATACGTCATTACAAAAAGCAGGAAAACTGTATTATTGTAGTTGTAGTACAATGTAATTTCCAATTTTTTGCACCCGAACACGGTGTTTATGTATTCCTTTTTTTTTTTTTTGAGACAATAAGGTTGAAACGTTTAGGAGTTGTTTTTCTTGTTGAGATTACCGTACTTCCGGTCGTGATACGTTTCTGGTAATTCGTTAGTCGTGCACTTGTCAAATTGACGCGGGTATAAGAAAGTTAACGGAAGCGAGATGTTGCTTCAATTGGTTCCATTGAAACATGTTCATAATAATTGCGCAACAATCGATTGATTGGATTATTGTTTTGTCTTACTTTTGCTTTTGCTTTTAGTTTGCGTTGCTTTGCTTTGCTTTTACGAACTTCACCCTTTTTCCCATTGTATATATATATATATATATATATATATATCCGCCAGTTATCTTTTAGCTAATACAATACATAAACCCAACAATCCCCCTTTGAATTATTTCTACCAACTTTCTTGTAATCCCTTTTTTCTACGGGACTCACAAGTAAAATAGGAATGGAAAAGTGTCTCTTACCGAGTTGTGATTCCATTGGTCCCGTGGCTGTTTATCTCCGTCTACCGGGATCCCGGTTTCTCTCTGCGGCTATACTTTCTGTATGCACACATAAATAAATGAGAAATGTTTGAGTAATTATTGGTCTTTAAACAAAAAAGAAATGAGTAACTTAACCATAGAGCAAGCGATGCATGGCTTACCATTAATAGTAATAATAATAGTAATTATTATAATTGCCACTTGAGTTCTAGAGATTATTTGGTATTATTAATATGACTAAATGATGATAAAGTAAGAACAAGATGAATATGTAGAAATATTAAGTTATTGTAACAATAGTAACACACGGAATCCGCGCTTACCCTCCCCTCCCCCCCCATGAGGTGGGAAATATTTTCGTTGGTTATTCGCGGGCGGTTGTAATTATTGATTTGCAGCAATAAGAACATTTCCTTGTCATGGGAGCAAGGCAATGTCCATAAGGAGGATTACCACCATAGTTAACTTCCACCACTGTCAACAGAAACGGAAATAACTTTGATGAAAAACCATTTCATTTTTTATGCATGTGCTCTTAACCAAATCAACCTACTTTGTGTTGTGGTTTTTTTTTTTTTTTTTTTCTTGCTTTATACGAATGGGTTTACATTATAAAAGCTATCAAATATCCCCTCCCATCATCATCATCATCATCATAAACATAATCTTAAGTCTTCTTGTCTATTTATCTATTTGTCTATCCAACTTTATTTGTTTGGGTTTAGAGTTCTCATTTTCCGTATATCCGTTGTCAAAAAGACAAAACAAAAAATAATATCAAAATATGCCCCGCGAGGAAGATCTGGGTGAATATTCAACTAGTCCATCTATTGGAGAATATGATGCAGACTATCATCGTAATCAAAACCAACAACAACAACAACAACATGGTGATTTACAAGATGATTATGATGAAAATGACGAGGAATCAAGAAGATTGCATTTAGTGCGAACCATATCAGCTATTGAAGCTCATGATTTTGAACAAAAATTTGATTCCATATCTAGAGAAATTTCAAGACAAGTTACCAATAAAGAAGGTGAATTTCAATTAAATTTAGATGAGTTTAATTTAGGTAAGATCTTGGCTAATTTTGTTTATTTCGCAAGAAAACAAGGTATTGTATTAAGAAAAAGTGGTATAACTTTTAAAGATTTATGTGTTTATGGGGTTGATGATTCTGTGGCCATTGTTCCTACTGTTATGGATATTTTAAAAGGTCCAGTTGCAGGGATTTCAGCAGCTATAAAGAAAGCAAAAACACCAAATAGAATGATTTTGAAACATTTAAATGGGTTTGCAAAACCAGGTGATATGGTTTTAGTTTTAGGTAGACCAGGTGCAGGATGTACCACTTTCTTGAAAGCTTTAAGTGGAACAGATTTTGATTTATACAAAGGTATTGAAGGTGATGTTAGATATGACGGATTACCTCAGAAGGAAATGATCAAAATGTTTAAAAATGATTTGATTTACAATCCAGAATTAGATGTCCATTTCCCACATTTAACTGTTGACCAGACATTGAGTTTTGCTATTGCTTGTAAAACACCTAATATTAGAATCAATGGAGTTACTAGAGAACAATTCATCAATGCCAAGAAGGAAGTATTGGCTACCGTGTTTGGCTTACGTCATACTTACCACACCAAAGTTGGTAATGACTATGTGAGAGGTGTGTCTGGTGGTGAAAGAAAGAGAGTTTCCATTGCCGAAGCATTGGCATGTCAAGGATCTATATATTGTTGGGATAATGCCACAAGAGGATTGGATGCATCCACTGCGTTAGAGTTTGCACAAGCTATCAGAACATCTACAACTTTAATGAAAACTACAGCTTTTGTTACAATCTACCAAGCAGGTGAAAATATCTACGAAAAGTTTGACAAGGTAACTGTTCTTTATGATGGTCATCAAATCTATTATGGACCTGCTAACAAAGCCAAGAAATACTTTGAAGATATGGGTTGGGAATGTCCTCCAAGACAATCTACTGCTGAATTTTTAACTGCATTGACAGATCCTATTGGTAGATTCCCAAAGAAAGGATGGGAAAATAAAGTTCCTCGTACTGCTGAAGATTTCGAATCTCGTTGGTTAAACTCTGTACAATATAAAGAATTGTTGAATGAAATTGACGAATACAATTCCCAGATTGATGAAGACCAAGTTAGACGTGATTACTATGATTCTGTTAAACAAGAGAAAATGAAAGGTGCTAGAAAATCATCTCGATTCACCATCTCATATTTAGAGCAATTGAAATTGTGTTTTATTAGAAGTTTCCAAAGAATTATGGGTGATAAAGCATACACTATAACGCTTGTTGGTGCTGCTGTTTCACAAGCATTTGTTGCTGGATCTTTGTATTATAACACTCCTGAAAATGTTGCCGGTGCTTTCTCTAGAGGTGGGGTTATTTTCTTTGCTGTGTTGTTCATGTCTTTAATGGGATTGGCTGAAATTTCTGCTTCTTTTAGCAACAGACAAATCTTGATGAAACAAAAGAACTATTCAATGTATCATCCATCTGCCGATGCTCTTTCACAATTTGTCATGTCCATTCCAATCAGTTTATTTATTAACGTTTTCTTTGTTATCATTCTTTATTTCTTGTCTAATTTGGCAAGAGATGCAGGGAAGTTTTTCATTTGTTATTTGTTTGTGGTATTATTACATCTTACTATGGGATCTATGTTTCAAGCTGTTGCGGCCATTCATAAAACTATAGCTGGTGCTAATGCAATTGGTGGTATTTTAGTTTTGGCTTCATTGATGTACTCATCATATATGATTCAACGTCCTTCGATGCATGGTTATTCAAGATGGATTTCATATATTAATCCAGTTTTATATGCATTTGAAGCCATCATTGCATCTGAATTCCATGGTAGAGAAATGGAATGTACTTACCCATATTTAACACCATCAGGTCCTGGATATGAAAATGTTGGTCAAGGTGAACAAGTTTGTGCATTTACTGGTTCTGTACCGGGACAAGATTGGGTTTCTGGTGATAGATATTTAGAAGTTGCATATACTTACCGATTCAGTCATGTTTGGAGAAATTTGGGTATTATTATTGGATTTTTAGCTTTCTTTCTTGCGGTAAATTGTCTTGGTACTGAATTTATTAAACCAATTGTTGGTGGTGGTGATAAATTATTATTCTTGAGAGGTAAAGTACCTGATCATGTCACATTACCTTCTGAAAAGGAGGACGAAGATGTTGAATCCAGTGGGCAAACAAGTGGCTCATCGGAGTTGGAAAAAGTACCAGCAGCTAATAATCAATCAAAAGTGGATGCTCTTGGTGGATCTACTGAAAACAAGAATGTTGGATTGGGAGTTGATGATGTTTATGTCTGGAAGGATGTTGATTATATCATTCCTTATGAAGGTAAGCAACGTCAATTATTAGATGATGTTAGTGGATATTGTATTCCAGGTACATTAACCGCATTGATGGGAGAATCAGGTGCCGGTAAAACAACCTTGTTGAATGTATTGGCTCAACGTGTTGACTTTGGTACAATCACGGGTGATATGTTGGTTAATGGAAGACCATTGGATTCGTCATTTAGTCGTCGAACAGGGTATGTTCAACAACAAGATATTCATTGTGAAGAAGTTACAGTACGAGAATCTTTACAATTTGCTGCTAGGTTAAGAAGATCCAACGATGTTAGCGATGAAGAAAAATTAGACTATGTTGAAAAGATCATTGATGTTTTGGATATGAAAGGTTATGCCGATGCCATTGTTGGTAGATTAGGTAATGGTTTAAATGTCGAGCAACGTAAGAAATTGTCCATCGGTGTTGAATTGGTTGCAAAGCCTTCTTTGTTGTTATTCTTGGATGAACCTACATCTGGTTTAGATTCACAAAGTGCATGGGCAATTGTTAAATTGTTGAGAGCATTAGCCAATTCAGGACAATCCATCTTGTGTACTATTCATCAACCATCAGCTACCTTGTTTGAAGAATTTGATAGATTACTTTTGTTAAAGAAAGGTGGTATTGTTACTTATTTTGGTGATATTGGTGATAGATCAAGTGTTATTTTGGATTATTTTGAAAGAAATGGTGCACGTCATTGTGAAGATCATGAAAACCCTGCTGAATATATTTTAGAAGCAATTGGTGCTGGTGCTACAGCATCAACTGAATTTGATTGGGGTGAGGTTTGGGCAAATTCTTCTGAGAAAATCCAAACTGATAAGAAACGTGATCAATTGATTAATGAATCGTCACAAAAGAAACTAGCTACTGATTTATCTGAAAAGGAAGTAAAGAAGTTAAGTTCTAAATATGCTACTCCTTATTTTTACCAGTTTAGATACACCCTTGAAAGAAGTAGCAAAGTTCTTTGGAGACTTCCAGAATATGCCATGTCAAAGATTATGATGATGACATTTAGTGGTTTGTTCATTGGTTTAGTCACGTTCTACAATCTTAAACAGACTTATACCGGTAGTCGTAATGGGTTATTCTGTGCTTTCCTTTCTGTTGTCACTGCTGCCCCAATTGCCAATATGCTTATGGAAAGATATAGTTATTCTAGAGCAACATTCGAAGCAAGAGAGCTGTTGTCTAATACTTATCATTGGTCCTTATTAATTGTGACAAGTATTCTTCCAGAAATTCCATACTTGATAGTTGGTGGTACATTCTTTTTCGTTTCTGTTTATTTCCCAGCTACTCGTCATGCCAGTGCACAAGCAGGTATGTTTTTCTTCACTCAAGGTATATTCTTACAATTGTTTACTGTGACATTTAGTGCCATGATTTTATTTGTTGCACCTGATTTAGAAAGTGCTTCAGTTATTTTCTCCTTCTTGTACACATTTATTGTTGCCTTTTCGGGTGTGGTTCAACCTGTTGATGTTATGCCTGGATTCTGGACATTTATGAACAAAGCTTCTCCATATACTTATTATATCCAAAATTTGGTATCATCATTTTTGCATAATAGAAAGATAGTATGTAGTGATGATGAATTATCCAAATTTAATCCACCTTCTGGTGAAACATGTCAACAATATTTATCAGAATTTCTTTCTAGAAATCCGGGTTATTTGGTCAACGAAAATGCAACTTCAAATTGTGAATATTGTCTTTATAGTAATGCTGATCAATATTTGTTAACAGTACAAGCAAGTTATTCTAACAGATGGAGAAATGTTGGGTTTCTTTTTTGCTTATATTTTATTTAATCTTGGATTCTGTTTATTCCTTTATTATTTCATAAGATACAAAAAAGTCTTGAAAGGTTTACCTGGACTTTTACAAAAACTTAAGAAATCCAAAAAGGCTTAAAAGGACTCATGATCTTTGTTTAGTTAATAGTAAATAGTTGTTTCTTTCTATACGTTTATATTTTATTTATAATTATCCCCCTATAGATGTATATATTAATTCTTTTCACCTTGCTTTTCAGCCTCTTCCTTTTCCTTAGCTAGTTTCTCTTTCTCTTCCTTTTCTTTAGCTAGTTTCTCTTTCTCTTCCTTTTCCTTTTGAGCTTTCTCAGCAGCTACTCGTTCTTCTTCAGCTTTCTTTTTGGCAGCTTCTGAATCACCAATTCTAAAATGTTCTTCAGCATATTGTTTACATACTTCAGTGGCATGTTCAACAACACAGTCAATTTGTTTACTCAATTGTTTACTGTTTCTTTTACCTTCCCATGTATGTTCCAACAGCTCAACTAAACTTCTTACCCCTTGAATATGAATTATAGTATTATCTTGATCAGCCACACTCAATGCTAATGTCATATAATCATTTGCTTCATCAAACATGGAAATACCATTTGGAATTAATGCATTTGCTTCACGTCCAGCACAAACAGTTTCAAAATCTTTAAATCCATAAACTGGAATATTAAAATTAATTGAACCAGAAAGATAAGTAAGTTTGAAAACTTCATCAATTCTTTCTAAAACAAGAAAATTAGGTCTATAAACTGATCCTCCACATCCACATTTTTTAATATGTGCTCTAAGAAAACCAATCCATAAATTTCTTTCAGTATTTGTTTGTATTGGAATTAATTCAGTTCCTCCTCTTACTGGACCAACTTCTTCTTCATTATCTTTAAGATCAATATGTGCTAATTTACATGTTGATTGAGAATCATCAATGAAATCAGCAAGTTCACATTTTAAAATCTTAAGATTATTCCATTGATAAATAAGGTAAATATAATCATCTCTACCTCCATAATTAACATTTCGTTCACTTGGATCAACAAATGGTGTCCAATTTTTTTCAACTCTTTGACGATCTTGTCCTTCAATTCGTAATTCTTTGATTTTAGTATATGAAATACCATTATGATTTAAATCCGGGAATCCATCTGTATTTAATTTACCATATTGATATTGAAATAACCAACCGATAAACATTGATCGATAAAATCTAAATGTTGTTCTAACTTTAGTATCTCCATCCTTACCATTAGTAACTTTTAAAATTTTTCTATGATATGAATTAAAAATAATTACTGGTTCATTTTCTCCATATTGATTCTTAACTAATAATAATCTAGTATCTTCAGGTCCATACCATCTTTTTTTAGTTTTATCAGCATTATGATAAAATGGAATTGGCATAAATCTAGGGAATTTTGATTTTTCATAAACTCTTTCATTATCTGCATTAGTAATAGGTAAAACTAATTCAACATCAACTAATTCTTTCCAATTTTCGTCATAAATTTGTGCATATAATAAAGAAACTTGTGGATCAGTTTTTTCACCAGTTTGAGAAAATATAACTCTACTAATCATTAAATGAACTCCATGTTTTTCTAACCATACTGAAGTACCAGCAAATTTATAAAAATGTTGTCTTGATTGACCTTTCTTTAAAAGTCTTCCGATTTGATCACCTTCAAAAAATTTCCCAAGTTCTTGAAATTGTGGTTCATTTTCTAATTGATATTTTAAAACTTTAGCTAATTTAATAAGTTCATCTGGTAATACAAGATAATCGGAAATTTCAAAATCTCTATGATAATTAATCAAATTACATTCTGATTTACCTGGATTTAATGATGAAAATATAGAAATTGAATGACTTGTATAATTCATATTAGCTATTTCTGGAGTTAATACTGAATCAGGGGATCCATTAAATTTTATATTTTTATGATGTGTAGTTGATACGGGAAGTTTTTCTTTAAAATTCTTTGGGAATATAGTATAATCTGGATAGATACTAGATATAGCATTTCTATCTATTCCATTATTCTTATTAGTTAAACTGAATATCAGAGATGATCCATTTTGAGTATGATAATCATAAACTTTATTAAATCCGTCATATCCATAATGAATTAATATTAATATAAGAACAAATGGGATCAAAAACAAATAAGCTCTTTTCACTCGCCTAGATGAAAACATAGGAACATATGGAGCACTCATAGTAAATGACAAGGTTTCAAATCCACCAATCAATGAATTTATAAACTGAATAAATAAAACAAGGACTATATTAACAAAAATAAAATAAAATAAAAAAAAAATAGAAAGAAAATTAAAACGAAATAACCTGAAATTTATATAAATAATAGGCTCATTGGGAAGTTAGTATCCCCTTTCACAGTTATTGCTGTTTCTTTTAAATTCATGTGTTTCTAGATCTTCTTCAATGGATAGGTTTCAAAAAGGTACTGCCGACACAACTGAAGGAATGTACTGCGCAAATTGCTGCTTATGTAAAACTGCTAAACATTTTGTTTGTTCTATTTTTGTAACTTTGCTTTGTTTCCGCTTCGGTTCAGTTCAGTTCAGATCATTGGGCTTAATTGTTGACTCTGATATTCTTATCTTTGTACATACATATACGCTATTGTAAAAGTCAAAGCAAATGTAACCATCTAGAGTTATTTATCTACTTACGTAAGACCAGTGTAAACAATTAGAGATCATTACTTTACTTGCTTATTTCTCTCAGAATGTTGATCAATTTTTTTGGCATCCACTCAATCAGAGTATGCATTGTGCATAATCCGGTTTCAGAGAGAAAATAGTACATCACCTTTTCCGTTTTTGTTTAATGTGTAACATTGTTTTGCGATGTGGCTATTTTGAACAACAAATGACACAAATCCTGAATTAGTGTGCTGTAATTTCTGCAGATATTGTCATCAACGATGAATCTGCGATATTTATTCAATAGCACCTATCTTTGTGATGTCCAGTAAGAAGAAGAAGATTAGCATTGGTTGAATTTCAATTTTCAAAGATATCACTAAAAGCTTCTTATATGCCAAGCATAAGCAAGAGCTATACCACCACGTGGATGATTTACGAATACTTAGAACAACCAAATGGTCATTTCTTTTATTTTTACGGTTCCTAGAATTAAAAAACCCCAAATAAAATATGCATTCAATGTACTTCTAATTAGCAATCATCTCCAAACGAATACGGGGATACGAATACCAATACAAAAGAAAATCACTTCATACGCATGGGGCACCTAACCGGAGTTCCTTTGCTTTTTTTTTTTGGTTTAAGAAAAAGAAAATACTAGTAACTAGTTGAGTTGATTTTCTTAGTGAGAAGCAATCTAAATCTCATTTATAAAGATGTTGAGCCCATGGTATTTTGTGATCTAATTCAAATAAAGAAATTAATACACAAATCTTGAGAGAGATTATGTATGGTATTTACCTGAAAGTTTTAATCAACTTTTTTTTTCATTACTTTCTAACAACGATAGTAAGACTATGGCCCTTGACACATGATAATATGCCACTTTCGCGATATTAATGGAAATATGCAGAGCTTTGATGAGAAGAACTATTTGTACGATGCATATTCGCTTACCTAATCTTATTCTAAAAATATATACTAGCAAATAAAAAATTTTGCAGATATATATATATATATATACTCGAAGTCTTACATAATATACCATACAATAATCGGATTTACAGGAACTTGTCTAACCTCCTTGAATGAAAAATTGAAAACTCCTCTCAGTAGTTAAAAATGACAAATACAAACCTTGAGTTAATGAAATTGGCAAGTTATCTTCTCGTTTTTCATCTCAGAAAGACAAGTTCTACATCATACATTTTGTGTAGTTCAATCTCACGAGACCAATTTCTCTTCTAAATGAACAATACATAAAACTAAACTAAACTAAAATTATTTGTTGGATTGATAGGATTAAAACAATTCAAAAAGAGATAAGGAGAGTTCAATGAATATTCTGAAAAAATGTCTGGAGTTTATCCGTGTTGGGTATGGAAGATTGGTATTGTTTATCTCAGTTATTTTTTTTTAAATGGACAAAGGTACAACGATAAGCGATTCTTAATTGATAAACTAACGAGTGCAATGATATAGTCTTATAAACCATTTTCAAAGTTTTGTGGTTAACTAAGTATAATCTAATGTATTGTTTAAACAAAAATTTTGAAGACGGCCCCGTTAAAATAAACTAAAAATAGAAAATTGCTCATCCCAATATTACCCAATTGATAAATGTACAAACTACTACAATTCAGTACTAAAGAATATAAATCTCACTGTTCAAGTTCTAAATATAGCATGCATTCATGACGGCATAAATCAATCAAATGGGTCTCGTAGTTCATGGTGTCATTTGTGATTTGGAAGCTTAAAATTGAGAAGTTTTTTTTAAAAAAAAAGTGTCATCATATACGAGGTGATTTACAAATTTTGAATCTTATTATCTTTTTCTTTTCCATTGTAGTAGACAAGTATGGATCTGTCTTCTTTGAAGATGTTGCTTGATTTATCTGGTTGACAGTATACTTTTTCTTCACGACATCATAAGCAATGTTTTCTGAGTCTCGTGGTAATTTTATTGCTTTCTAGATTTTTCCCTTCTAATCTCACAGCTAACATTTATTTAGTCATATATACTAAATATCATGTAATAACCACAAGGATATACACCAACTAATGTTGTCCAAATTATATAGGTGTTCCAATTTAATAATTTGTATGGACTTGGTAGCGTGTGTTCTTTTTTGTGATTGAGCCACTACCCATAATAAAGAGAAAAAAATTATTCGTAATACCTAACAAGTTCGTATGTACAATGTTTTGAGTTGGACCCTTTTAATTGATCTATACCTACAAACAAAGATCAAACTATTCAATTTAATTGGTTTAGCTTTGACAAAACTGATTCTGATCAAGAAAATACTTTAATCCTCAATGGTGATTGGCAATATGGGTTTACTTCTCTAAATAGTAGAGTATTGAGAGTTCATCTGTTCATTATTTACTAATCCCCGTAACTTGACATTATGTTGAACAATATTGCAATGATGCTTTGTTTATATATATATATATATATATATATTATCAAAAAGAGTGTGTATTCTGATGAGATTGTGGATAATCATCTAACCCTAATTGAAAGGCAGTTCTATCAGTATTAAAATCAAACATAAATGGATTATTACAACCTCACGTATTGAAAACCGTCTATTAGCTATCTATTTACAAGAATTGATTGTCTACAGTATCATTAATCAGTGATACACTCAGAGAGATAATAAATAATTGTACTCTTGTTCTATAAAATGATATCCTTAAAATGTTTGCAACCAAGATGACAAGGCGGGGGAGTTTTTTTTTTTTTTTTCGGTGGCCAAATTAGCCAACTATAAATAGAGCAGACAACCCACCTGAAATAAAAATTCATCATTCACTTTTTGCTTTCTTCTTCTTTTTGAATAATTCTACAGCATACGAGGAAATGATTTTTCTTTATTGGTCATTATACCAGTTATTACACATTTTTGATGTTACTTTATATTTAGAGGTCTGTTCTCTAAATGTTTTTACCTAACTACTAACCTTTGTTTCCAGAATTTCTAGCATTTTCATTTGATTAATATATGTATTATTTTTATTGTTATTTTATATATCATTTCAACTATAAACCAGGATGTAAATTTAAACCCTTCCGTAGATTATTGTCACATTGGTGTATCTTCATCTTCTATTTGATATCTTCATTTTGAATCTACATCTCTAGTGACAACACTCTTGGTCATTTAAAGATTTCTTTCTTACGTTGATAAGCCCGAGCGAGAGAATCAACAAACAAACAAAAAAAAAAATTAAAAGGGCAAAAAAAGAAAAAAGTATTTCCCAACACTTTACTTTCCACTCACTCCATTACATTCATTATTCCCAATATCATCATCATCATCATCATCACCGTCACTATTTTAGATATATTCTTTATTTAAATATGTCAGGATTAGAACAATCATTATTTCAATTAAAATTCACAGCTAAACAGCTTAATCGTCAAGCTTCAAAAGCAGCAAAAGAAGAACTTCAAGAAAAAGCCAAAATTAAAAAAGCTTTAACTCAAGGTAATCCAGATATAGCTCAACTTTATGCTCAAAATGCAATTCGTAAATCAAATGAAAGAGTAAATTTATTAAGATTATCTTCAAGAATTGATGCTGTTGCTTCAAGAGTACAAACTGCTGTTACTATGAGATCAGTAACTGGTAATATGACTCAAGTTATAAGAGGTATGGATAAAGCTTTACAAACTATGAATTTAGAAAGAATTTCTCTTGTTATGGATAAATTTGAAAATCAATTTGAAGATTTAGATGCAAGTACGAATTATTATGAAACTACTACTAATAATGTAAATGCTTTAACTACTCCACAAGAACAAGTTGATGAATTATTAAATCAAGTGGCTGATGAAGCTGGCATTGAAATGAAACAAGGTTTAAATGCTACAAAAGTTGAAGTAACAAGTCCCGTTCCAAATGCAATTTCAGAAGAAAAAGAAGATAAGTTGGCTGAAAGATTAAGAGCTTTAAGAAATTAGAAATGATTTTTTTTTTTTTGCAGTAATTTTCCTATTGGTTTTTTTTACTGATATTTCTTTTATATATATATATTAATGTACAATTATTACAATGCTATATCATCTATAGGGTTTTGAATTTTGCACTCTAGTTTACAAACAATATTTTTTTCAAAATTAATTTTTTCATCTTGTTGAATTATTAGCTTGTTCCTCTTGTTTAATAATATATGTCACAATGTTAACTAAATTTTGGAATCCCTTGTCATTACCTTTAATTCTAATCAAATGCAATGTAGACGAATTAATCAAATCAATAACTTCAATTTTGAACTTTAACTTTCTACCACTGGAGAATTTACTTGGAATAACACCAGTAATTAACCCAAATTCTTCATCAATAGTAACTTTCGATATTGATCCTTCAATTTTCTTCAATTCTAATTGGTTCTTAATGACTCGAATAAGTTGTGATGCAGTCAATGTAGAATCAATCATTTTAATATCTCTGCTAGTAACTTTAGCATCATCACCATCTGAGGATCCACCAGCCAAAGAATGGAAAAATTTCTTAAACCAATTACTACTCTTTGGTGTCTTATCTTCAGTTTGTAATACATGTTTAGAACCAAGTGATATTCTCGAAAATCTGTTATGTCCCTTATTAGGTGATCCAGGGGTAGTCAGTACAGGTGGATTTGGTTGTTGTGCTAATACTGGGGTGCCTGGTGCCTTTGGGGCTGCTCTCTTTGGATTCAACGATAATCTTCTAAATAATGATGATTCTTTTGGTTTATTATCAAAAGTATCTTGCACTGGACTAGAAATTAACATCTTGGTATCAGCAATAGAAACTCTCTTTTTCTGGGCATCTGATCCCACATCAAGTTCATCTTGCCCTTTTTTACCATCTTGTTGGTCATCATTTTCACCGCTTAACGGAAGAAGTGGAGATCTTGGTATTGTTGTGCTGAAAATTCCAGTAGAATGTCTAGATTTCTTCATATCATGTGAAAAAGAAGGTTCGTTAAAACCACCACCAACAGGACTTTCACTGGTCATCTCCACTAATGAATAATTACTACTTTGAGCTTCAGCAACAAATGAACTTCTAGCATCTTCATTGCTATTTCCATCATTAACATTGTCAGCACATGGTTCGTCATCATCGTCTACTTCTTCTTCTTGTTGTTGTTCTTGTTCTTCCTCGTCAACCAAGACTGGTCCTTGCTGTTGTTCATCTATTCTGCTGTTATTTCCCTCCAATGTGGCTTGTTCGTCTCCGGATGAATGGCTCTTAATCAAAGTCTCTTTAGAATCAACATAACTTGGCTTTTGGGTATTTATCTTGCCAATATCAGCAACTCTTGAGCTTATAAGTTCAAAATCAGAAAATTCATTATCCAACAAATGTGTGGTGTTGTGAGAAGTTTCTAAATGAGCTGCCAGTGGGGTGTACGAATATTCAGTATCTGCAGTACTAGCATCCGATTGTTCACCGTCAAAATCATAATTCCCACTTCCACGAACTTGATATTTTCTGTTTCCTGGAGTGTTTGCATCTTCTTCGTCTTCTTCTGATGTTGGAACAGAGATAAATGGTTTCTCACCTTCACCATCCTCTTCATCTTCATGAATGGTTGTTGTGCCTCTCACTTTAATTCCCAAGCCTAATACAGTGGATGATTTATTATGCGTTCTTCTAACAACTGTGTTTGAATTATTGATTGTATTGTTCATAATTGTCCAATCACCTTCTTCATTTGCAACAGTATTATTTCCCAACAAACCGCCGAAGGAAAATCTGGAAAATCTTGGATTTGGAATTAATGAAATGTTATCGTATGCACTTTCGTCTTCCTCTTGTTTTTCTTTGACAAATGATGGGACGTGAGATGGAGCTTGAGACGGTTTGGTTTCATCAATATCATTAAGCATCGATTTGTAATAAGAACTTTGAGTACTTTGTCTTCTGCTCAATGATGGAGCAGATTTCAAACTTTCTATTTCATTAAACTTATCAATAGTTAAATCATCCTCTTTCAATATAGTTTCATTGTCATCCATGATAAGACTTTCTCCATCATCGGCGGTTGGAGCATTTAAATAACTAGCCAAATTCTTGGAACTTGAAGTTTTCAATTGTGAAGAAAAAGTTCGTGACACAGTAGGAGCCAAAAAGGCTGATAAATTCTTGGAGGTGGAAGTCTTGAAGTTGCTAGAAAATTTCTTTGGAGAAGGTGCAACATCAATACCTAATTTGTGTAAAACCTTCGATGCATTATCATCAATACTCACATTACTTCTGTTTAAGTTTGGTGATCCTAAAGTTCTTGCTCTTGATAATGGACTGGATCTTGGATCCAATAAGGAGATTCCTGATGGTGGAGCGAAATCGTCAGTTACAGAACGACGATGGCTATTTGCTACTAGTCCTTCAAAATCATGAGCACTTTGACGTTTCTTCAACCTTTCAATTGCAGATCGTTGTTGTTCTTGTAATCTTTGTTTCTCTTCAAGTTTTCTTTCCTCTTCAGCCAATCTCATTTTCTCTTCGGCAATTCTCTTCTTCTCTCGTTCAAGTTCTCTCTTGGCCTCTTCTTCTTGTTTCAATTTCAATTCCCTTGCTTCATTTCTTTGACGTACTTGTTCTGCAAGTTCTCTTTCTTTTCTTGCCAAAGCACTTTCTGCTCTCTTGGTAGAACTGTTTCTAGATGGGGCAAGAGAAGGAGCCAATGTTTTTGGTTTGGAATTCTCCTTTTCATTATCAAAAACCTCCTCACAAATCATCTGGAAATTCAACAAGGATTTGTTACCAAATGTACCAGTTAAGTTTCTCTTGGTTTTCTTTTGTTGCTCGACATCTCTTTTAAGAGTTTGCTCTTTAACGGTAATAGAATTAGTATTAGTTTTTGGAAGTTCTGGAACTTTATTAGCATCATTAGTAGGAGATGTAGAATGGGCTCTTCTGGTGGATGAAGCAGTAGATTTCAAAGAACGGGATGATCCACTTCTACTCTTGGAAGTGATTTGATTATTCTGATGGAGCATTTTCTTCTTTGTGATAGAAGTAGAAGCCTTGTATTGTTTAGGGGTATTTGGTCGATTAGTGATATTGGACAAAACATTACCCTTGGCAGAAGTTGATTTTTTCAATAATGATTTATTAGAATATATTGATGCTGAATTGGTAACTTTTTCCTTCTTAACAGTTGTATGCATTTCACCAGTAATATGATCAGTGACAATAGTTTTCACATACGATGTAGATCGTGGTATGGATTTAGCTGATTCTAAATCATTGATGCTGATAAATGAATTTGAGTTTGAAAGATGTTCATTCCTATACTTCATCAACAAATAGTAAAACATCTTTTCAGCACATCTATTTGGTGATAGCAAGTGGGAAATAATGGTATTTTCATTACAATTGTGAAACAAAACAGACAAGTTCTTGAGAATCTCTTTGTCAATTTTTTCAACCGATTCAATAGGTTTGATATCAATGTTGTGGATATCTAAAGTAGTGGTTGAAGCATATGAGATAGGTGGCTCAGGGTATTTAGTTAACAAAGGATGGGTCAAGATTGCGTCAATTGTGATACGTTCGTCTGGGTTGACTTTCAACATTTTAGTAATTAAATCTTTTGCTTCAAAACTCAAATCAGAAGGCATATTGAATTTCCCACTTTGAACTTTCAATAATAACTTTCTGATATTCTCATCATCAAAGGGTAAATGACCAGTCAACAAGGCAAATAAAATGATCCCACAAGACCAAATGTCAGAAGGAGCCCCATGATAGTTTTTACCAGCAACAATTTCAGGGGATGCATAATGAGGAGATCCACAAGAAGTCTCCAATAATTTCTCTTTAACTTCCAATGCAGCCATCCCAAAGTCAGCCACTTTGATGTTTTTGTTGAAATCCAATAATAAATTCTCTGGTTTCAAATCACGATGACAAATATTGAATTGGTGTAAATAGTTGATCCCATTGATTATTTGCTTGAAGTAATTGATGGCTTCAAATTCTTGTAGTTTTCCCTTTTTAATCAAATAATCAAATAATTCACCACCTTCGATATACTCCAAAATCAAATACAAATCATTTTTGTTTTCCCAGACATCATAAAGACCCATGATATTTGGATGCGAAATCAATTTCATGATGATTATTTCACGTTCGATACCATAAGGTAATCTTGTGGCATCATCATTTTTACGTTTATATTTTGGATTTTCCAATTTCTTGAAATTTGATTTAGGAACAATTTTAACGGCAGCAAGTTGGCCAGTATTTGTATTTTTAGCCAATCTTACTCTACCAGTAGATCCTCTACCTAAAGTTCTTCCTAATTTCCAAGGACCAATCTTATTTTGAGATTTTCTTTTTTTATTTGAGTTGGTAGTGTTTGTAGAAATTTGTGACAAACGTTTAGTAGCATTTGTCACTGATTGTACTACTTTATCGACATTGATTGAAGATGGGTAGTCAGGGGGTGGTAAGTAGCTTTCAAATTGATGTGTAGATTTTTTATGGGCAACAGTAGACATTGTTGTAGTGTGTGTAATATATAATAAAATATCAGTTGAATATAATTAAAGAATGAACTATAGTTGGTTGTAGTTTAAGCGAATGAATAGTAGTTAATAATTGGAACTAGTTGATTCTAGTTAAGAATATAAAACACGAGTTATCTATATCTATTGGACTGGTTTGATTGATAGATCTGTTTGTTAGAAAAGAGTGTTGTAAATAAAGAAGACAACAACAAAAAGGCAGAAAAAAATGAAAACTTTTGTTGATGATTTAATCCAATTCAATTATTTATTGGTTGATAAACTGATGAAGTTGAATAGCTCTTCTTTTGCTTAAATTCCTTTCTTGAATGAAATGAATGAAGTTGGAAAATGGTATTGATTGTAAAAAGTCTTCGTTGCTGTCCTGGTTGAGTCAAAAGAAATGTTGTTGTAAAAAAAAAAATCTTTCTCCTGTAAAACAAAAAAAAAAATAGAAAATAGAAAATCTCAATCTTAGACTCAACTTCAAATTCAACCTCAGTTACTCTGACAATGTAGAACTTCTAATTAATTGGGTTGTAAAATTACTAAAAATTTGTGGACGTATTTCTACAACGAGTGTCAGGTAAAAGAAAAAAGGGGAGAGTGGCAGGAAAGGGAAGGGAAACGGACAGAGGTGCTCGACAGACAAACAGGCAGCCAGACCAGGTGAAATTTTTTTTTCTCTCTCTCTTTTACCCTTTCTCTAAGTAAAGTAAAATAAAGTAAACAAATAAATTAAATTCAAAATTCGTGTCGTCGTCCGTTGTTGTGAAATACGTATGCGTGTGTGTAATATTACAAATCAAATCTAGACTATACACACACACACATAGAGTATATTATTTTTGTACACTTACAAATTGGCTTATATTGAATATTGTAGATTAACTCAACAGACATCTCCAGACACAAGCATTGTTTCATTTATGTGTGGGTGTAGTGGTCTCTACTGTAAATTATCGCGTCTACTCTGTTCTCTTCTTCTTCCTCTTGATCATCAACATCTTCATTATTAGGTCTACTGCAAAGTGGCAGGGTGCTTAGGTGAAATTGGTTCGTTGGTTGGCTGTAATTCACGTGTGACAAAACCAAAGGAGTTTTTGTTTATTTGTTTACATTTGAAAAAAAAAAATCCAATTTGGCGTTATTTTGTGCGCAGATAATTTTTTTTTTTATCTTCTTTGGTTGCAGAATCAGAAAAAATCAATATTTTGACACGCGACTAATTTAAACGGTACTTTACAACCAATACGATTTCATTATCTTACGTCTTGCGTCCAATTTACTCCAATCCACTCCACCTCTATCCCCCATCACCACCACCATGGAAACTAGCAACCTGGTTGTATTATCACCATTTGTATATGGTCAATTGGTATAGGTATCCCAAGTTGTGATTAATTAATTTAAACAGTGAATCAAAATCAAAATCGAAACCTTTTTCTTTGATCCGATGTTTCAAACAATGTATCCAACAGCCCTTTTTGAACAAATTCGCAAAAAAAAATCTTTTTAAGACGTGTAGCAAAACTGTATAACACATACAAAATAGAAAGGTACATTTACATTGTCTCGTTGGTTGCTAAATATGGGCTGTAAGCCTTAGCAGGGCGTTTGCTTTTTTTTTAAATTATTATTATTTTGAGCCATCAATTTTGATAACAACTTATGCAGACAGTTGTCGTATAGCCAATACAAGAGTTGTTGTAACCAAGTTAAACACTCATCACGCTCATCATCATAATTTATTGATTCTTCATGAGTTATATTTCTGCATGCATGGTAGATTAATTAAAAAAGAGACACGTTCAACTGAAAATATAAAGGTTATTGTAACCCATGGAGCGAATATTTGTATTCAATTATACATGTACAGCAAGAGAGAATGTTGCAACAAAAATTTAACTCCTTTGGGATGAGATTAACCCCCAATGAAACTATTACAATCCAAGAGATGTCCTTTCAATTGTTTCAAAATCAGTTCTCGTGTAATTAATGGAGATGGGATATTAAAAGGAATTTGTTCATGTTAATTTGGTGCAATTCATTTGTAATGGAACAGTATTATACGGATGAAAACCAACCCAAGGATAATTTGCTATGAATTTATTACAATGTTTGGTTGAAAATTAATAATCCTTCTTCTAGTAATTATCAACTAATCTGATAACCTTTTTTTTTATTTAAATCAGATTAGTTGTTACAATCTTGCTGCAAAATCATATACACCCATCATACAGTTACCATTCTAAATTAAGTCCAATAATAGTTGAATTATACTTCGCAGTTAACTTCCTTCAACGATCGTGCATCCCCCCACACCAGAAAAATAATACTACGCCGTCGCCCGCTCGTCTCGTTTTACCTCACTGTTCCCCCAGACGATGCCAGCTCTAAAAAACGTATAACGATGAGGGAGAAAAAAAAAATTGTAGAACCCTAATTACAGCACAATTTCATTTCATTTTTTTTTTTTTTTCGTTTGGCATACCTCCCCCCTCCCTCCACGGCCACGAGTGGTTATCCAATTAGAACTTTGAAGAAAATTTTTTCTCTTTTTTTTTTTCATCACATTGAATTTTTAAAAACTTCTTTCTTCTTTTCTTACTTTGTTAACAACAACAACTAGTATCCAATTACAATGTCTGACGAAAGAACTTTTATTGCTATTAAACCAGATGGTGTCCAAAGAGGTTTGATCTCTTCTATCTTGGGTAGATTTGAACAAAGAGGTTTCAAATTGGTTGGTATCAAATTGGTTCAACCAACTGAATCTTTATTGAGAAACCACTACGAAGATTTACAAGAAAAACCATTCTTCCCATCTTTGTTATCTTACATGTTGTCTGGTCCAGTCTTGGCTACCGTCTGGGAAGGTAAAGATGTTGTTAAACAAGGTAGAGCTATCTTGGGTGCTACTAACCCATTACAATCTGCCCCAGGTACCATCAGAGGTGATTTCGCCATTGACATGGGTAGAAACGTTTGTCACGGTTCTGACTCTGTTGAATCCGCTAACAAGGAAATCAACTTGTGGTTCAAAAAGGAAGAATTGGTTGAATACAAACCAGCTTTGTTTGGTTGGATCTACGAATAAATTTGTTAGTTAGAAATACTTTGTCAATTGATATTAATCAATTGAGTATATATATACTTATATATCTATTCATTTATTACTATATATTATCTAAATAACTATTCAAATATAAATTCAAACCAACTTCAATCTATTAGCTTGAGTTTGTAATTACAAATAATTTACAAAGGGAATTTTCAGTGATCACAAAAATGTCGTGTCCTTTGACCATGTCGTGTCGTGAAATTTTTTTTGAAAAGTTATGTCGTTGATTTCATTACGACTTAATTTCAATTGTAAGAGAGAAAGAAAGACAGAAAAAAAATAATACGTTCGATATCTGAGACCTTGCCTATCAACTAATCAATATTTTATAAGAAAAAGTTGAACAAAGTATTGTGATATAAATCATGGCATCAATAGAACAAGATGATCTTTTCAATGTTGGAGATGATGAAGATATGGAAGATGAAGAATTAGATGTTCCTCAACAAGAAGATTATCCTATGGAAATTGAAGAAGAAGAGGAAGAACAACCTAAAGAAGATGTTGAAATGAACGAAGGTGAATACGATGAGGATCAGGACGATGATGATGAAGGTGAAGGAGAAGACGAAGATGAGGAGGAAGACGATGAAGACGATGAAAATGGAGGTGAAGAACAGGAAGAAGAAGAAGAGGAAGACGAGGATGAAGAAGACGAGGAGGAAGAAGATGAGGAGGAGGAAGAAGAAGAAGAAGAAGAACGTGAACAAAGTACTGGAAATGTATCTACTGCAATTACATCACCTAGAAGTAAAGATCAAGATGATAGTAAACTAATAGTATCTGAAGAACAAGATCAATTACCTTCTACATTAATAGAAGAAAATAAAGATGAAGATGGTGATATACTATTAGGACAAGAAGCAAGTGAAACCACTGAAAAGCCTCAATCACAATCACAACCAAGCAGTGATGAGTCAAAGTCCACAAAAGAGCATACTGAAGCAGAAGAAAAGAAAGACAATAAAGAAAAACCTTCACAACTTCCACAACCAGAACAAAAGGAACAAAAAACCCTACCAAAAGAAGATGATAATACAACTGCCCCAGAAATCATACCCGCTAAGGAACCAGAACAACCATCGACTATAACATTAGACAAACAAGAAGGAAGTGACCAACAAGAAGAGAGTAACAATACCACTGAACAGGCCAAAGATAAGGAACAACTAATAGATGATATGAAAGAATCACAAGAAAATCTCACATTTCGAGAAAGAATTATTGCTAAAGCACGTAAAGCTACTGAATTTGATATTATTCCTCAGGTTGCCATTCCATATACTTCACAATGTCATTCATTAGCATTTACAGAAGGTCCGAAATGGATATTAACTGGTGGAGAGGATGGATTTATTAGAAAATATGATTTTATTGCATCTATTCAAGGGAAATCTCCATTAACTATGGCACAAAAACATAATCTTTTAAGTGATTCATTAACTAATGCTGGTGTTATTTGTTCATATTGGGAAAATGAACAACCTTTAACTAGAAAACAATTGATGAAACAAAATCCAAAATTAAAAGATAGTGATTTTTCAACTGGTAGTGTTAGTTATGAACCTAAAGTCAATCCTGTTTATGCATTAGATGCTGAAAGAAATGGATATTGGTGTTTATCAGGTTTATTAAGTGGTGGTATATCATTATATACTATGAGATATAATGAAGGTACAATTCATCATTATTTTCATCATGGATCTAGAGAAAATCCAAAAAGAGGTCATAATGATGCAGTATCAGTATTAAAATTAAATCAAGAACAAGATAAATTTTTAAGTGGTTCATGGGATAAAACAATTAGACAATGGGATTTAAATACTGGGAAAACTATAATTGAATATGCTGGAAGTTCTGGACAAATTTCAAATATTCAATTCCGACCTGATGGATTAGGTGATATTGTATTTACTTGTGAAAACCAATCTTCTCCTTCACCACCACCACCACCACAAAAAGAAGAAACCAATTCTATAAATAAAGAAAATGATAATGATAATGATGATATTGATTCACTTTTCGGAGGCGATGATGATGATGATGACGAAGATATAGATATGGATAAGTCAGAAAACAAACCTCTTGAAGAATCACTTCGTAAAGCTGAAGAATCTATTGATACACCACACAATAATAATCCAGGATCATCAAGTACAACACATTTAAATTCTAATATTTTCATGTCATCAAGTATTGATGGTACGATAAATATTTGGGATATTCGTACAGCTAATCCAGTTATTAGAATTGGAGTTTCAGAAGGTACACCACCATGGTGTATGTCACTGTCATGGTCAAATAATGGAGATTTTATTTATGCAGGTAGAAGAAATAGTACAATTGAAGAAATTTCAATTAAAATGCCTCATAAAAAGAGTAATTCTGGACATCATAAAGATACAATGATTCCAAATATTTCAAAATTATTACAATTTCCTAAAATTTCAGGTCCTGTTAGTGCTTTATCAACTATGCCAAATGATGATTTTTTATTATGTGGATCAAATGATAATATAAGATTATATAATTTAAAATTATATGATGATTTAAATAATGAAAAATTTAATTTGAAAAAACAAGCAACTCCATTTTTAATTATTCCTGGTCATCATGGTGGTATGTTATCTCTGTTATATGTTGATGAAACTGGTAGATTTATGGTTAGTTCAAGTGGTTATCGTGGTTGGGGCCATGGGGCATTTACTGATAGTGTCTTGGTTTATGAAATTGATTTTCAATAAATTACATTATTAATTAATTATAAATAAAGGACAATCATATATAAATTAGTATATATCATACAAAAAAAAAATAACAATAAAAAACAATTATGTAACAATAAATAAATATAAATTTTTTTTTAAAACAAAACTAGAATGAAAATTAAAACATCAAATCAAACCAAACTAGACTAAACCATCGACATCATTATTACTATTATTATTATCCTTGAAATCCGTAAATTGTATTTCTTACATTTCCAATTCCAATTTGACCCAATATCCCTGAAGTTAAATGTGAATTTTTCACATAATAAACCACATTATTCAAACAATCTTCAACATCATCAACAACAATTCCACCAATTGAACTTAATGTATAAATAGGCTCTTGTTCAATTAATGTTTTAAAAGTAGTTGATATTGAATTTAAAAAATTATGATAATGAGAATTATTATACTTTACAAGTATAAAATGAATCATAATTCCTAAAAATCCAATAGTTATTGAAATTTTATATAAATTATTCGTCAGTAATAACCAATCCTTATTTCTAATAACAACTTTTTTATTCTCATCATTATTACTATTATTATCTGGAGATGATGAAGATTCATTAATGGAATTCTCATTAAGGAATAATTTCTTAAATATCATAGAAGATTTCAATTTATGTAATGAAGTTGAAGTAATTGAAGATGCTAAAGTTAATGAAGAAGCCAACAGATTATCACTTGATTCAGATTCATCAAATGGCATTGATTGTATTGAATGTGTTAATGATTCTGATTCTTGTTGATTTTCATGTAATTGTTGAAATATCTTTTCTTGATAATTCATATCATCTATTGATTGTCGAGATATTTCATCATCTTGTATAACCATTAATTCACCCAATTCTTGTTGATTTAAAAATTTGAAATATTTAGTAAATTTCTCTTCTTTGGCAATAGATATACTTGATGAATTACACAACACAGAATGTTGATTATAATCATTAAACCATTTATTCCATGTGGTTTCTCTATTTGTTAAATTTTCAATAGGATAATCTTGTAATAATTCTTGCGCTTTATTTAGTATTTTAACCAAATTAGAATCAGTCAATTCTTCAAATAAATTAGTTGGTGATACCACTGTATGTACCAAATCTTGGTCAACATGATCAAATTCACATTCATCATCTTCTAAACCTAATTTCTCCCAAATACGATCTTTAAATATTATCAAACTGGCAACGTAGATATACATATTGATCAATACTGAATTATAACTCAAACTAAAATCCCACAATGTCAAAATCTGATTAATATTGGTTAAATCATGTGAATAAATAGTCAATATACAGGATAACCCTTGATAAAATTTATAATCATAATGTAACCCTTCAGAGTGAATAAATGAATTTGAAGTTTGTTTAATTAATTCAAATAATTGATCATCAACAATTTCTAAAATCATGGGAATTAATTTTAAATGATCAATTGATAAATTTATATCCGTTAACATATAGTCTCTTAAATGGAAAATAGCCAAGTATTCCAACATTCTAAATGCCAACTCTTCATCAATCTTATAACCATCATCTTCGTCTTCTTGTTGGTCTTCCAGATTCTCAACCTCATTGGAATTAAAATCATCCAGTTTATCATTTGGTATATAACATACTAATAATATTATACTAGCAATATCATGGAATCCTTGGTAATAATTCAAACTTGGATATTTCCTCAATAGTTTAATAATTAAATGAGATAATTTAATCTTTAAATTATCAATATCATTAGGAGTTAATATTGTAGTATATGAAGATGGACCCAGATACAGAAATGTTTGAATATGATTTAATATAGTAAAAGATCTCTGAATATCTAATTTAACTTGATCTTCATCTTTATGAGGTGGCAATTCAACATATTTCAAATCTTCTAGAAATAAATCCGGTGAAATTTTCAATAAATTAGTTCCCAAAGTATTGCTATTATTATTCAATGAAGTTGACAGAATAGAACTATTATCTAAATCATCTTTCTTTGTTGTATTAAAATAATCAATACCTAATAATAATGGCCAAATTTTACATCGCAAGTCATTATTAATTAATCCATCAGTAGATCGTGATAAATCACTTAATAATTCCAACACTTCTTGTTTATCATCTTCTTTAGTAATAGTATTATAAATTTCTTTAACTTTCAAACTTTTAATATGATCATTTAATGGCAAGTCATCATTATCTAGATATAATGATGTCCCCAAATAATCTATATCCATCGATGGTTGATAAGTCACCTCCGATGCAACCAACGAAGACATATTCTGTTTATTCCTTGAGATGTTATCTTGTGTGTGTCTTGTATTATCAAACTGTTGAAAAGTTGCTTGTACTTATAAACAATAATCTATCTTGATATCCCTTGTTGTTACAGTAGTTGTCAATATATCAATGCAAATGAACCGGGGGGGGGGCTCTTTCTAATCTCTTTCTTTCTTTCTTTCTCCTTAAATTTTTTCTTTGAGCCATGAAATTTCTTTGTGTTACTTTTGCTATCAAAAAAAATATAAAAAATAAATGAGTTATTTTGCAAAGGACACGACCTGTCACGTGAGTCAGGTTCATCCATGCCGACTCTCATTCTTCACCAATAATAATCACCGACGATTTAATTGGTTGTCACTTGCCTATGATCACACTCAACAATAATAGAAAAAGATGGTGATAATGTGGTATATAGAACACCAAAGTTGTACAATATAGAGCTGACTATTAATAATAAGATAGACAGAACTCAGGATTAAAATCACTTGAGATTGGGGTGATACCTATCTCTACAGACAATTCCAATTGAGATAAACTAAAACATTAAAATATATTATACTAAATTATAAACTTATGTAGATGCTAGAATGATTGTATAAAGTTAATAGAATGCAAGATATAGAAATTATATGTCCTGGACTTTACATCCACTAGATATACAAACTTAGATTGACAACTATGCTCAAGCTGTACACCATTCATTATTAAAATTTGTTCTTTACTGAAAAAAATGAAGGACGAAAAATTTTCTCTTATTTATAATGCAAATACGCGGGCGTGTACTTTTGCACAAAATAAGGAAGAGTAATGATGATGTAATACAATTTAAGAAGTACTATCAATTATTTAACTCAAATATACTATTACTATAGTACTTTAAATTTCAAAGGATAGTTGATCAGCAATCACATTTTAGCAAGTAATTACAGTTATCTTACAGAATGTCACCACTTTGACTACTTTATACTGTACCATAAGTAGTGATTCCACCACAAAATAAAGGAAAATGGCTACTAAGTCTCCCCTCCCCCCACAGAAGAGAAATTACGAATACTGAAACTATTTGGATAATATTGATTAGATAATACTATGTGGTGCTTATATCGAAAGAGATGATTTTGTAAGTAGATTAAAGTTATTAGTTTTAGGCAGACAAACTGTTTTAGATGCCATATAAAAAATTTTTCTATCTATTAATTAATAAACAAACACAGATCTTATTGAATTTAAACAAAGATTGGAATGTTGTCCCAGTCCCATGGATCATTGAATCTCAAACCAATGTCCAATTTAGCAATATTGTCCAAATCATCCTTAGTCAAGTCAAAGTCAACAACAGACAAGTTTTGAGCTAATCTTTCTGGATTGTTTGATTTTGGAATAACAGCAATATTTCTTTGAGTAGCCCATCTTAATAAAACTTGAGCTGGGGATTTACCATGTTTATCAGCAATTGATTTAATAGTTTCATGTTCAAATAAAGTTGGGGTGTTCAAAGCTCTCTTGGATTCCAATTCCAAGAATGATTGTGGACCAAATGAAGAGTAACCAGTAATGGCAATACCAGCTTTTTGAACATATTCAATCAATTTTGGTTGTTGCAAGTATGGGTGATGTTCAATTTGTAAAACAGCTGGTTTGATAGTAGCACCTCTGATCAAATCGTAAATCAAAGCACCAGTAAAATTGGAAATACCAATAGATTTGATCTTACCAGCTTCAACCAATTTTTCCAAAGCTTTCCAAGTATCTAATAATGGAACATCTTCATAGTGGAAGTTATCACCATCACCACAGTAGAAACCAGGTGGGTATTTTTCTTCAATTGGAACAAATTTAAAAGCAATTGGGAAATGAATCAAGAATAAATCAACATAGTCCAAGTTCAAGTCACTTAAAGTTTTGTTTAAAGCAGTTTCAACATTCTTTGGATCATGGAAATTGTTCCATAATTTAGAAGTGATGAATAATTCTTCTCTTTTAACTAATCCTTCTTTAATGGCTCTGTTAATACCTTCACCAACTTCTTTTTCATTACCGTAATCTTCAGCACCATCAAATAATCTGTAACCAGTTTTGATAGCATTGTAGATTTGGTCAGCAGCAGTTTCATTATTGACTTTCCAACATCCGAAACCAACTAATGGCATTTCATAACCAGAGTTTAATTTAATGGTAGGAATAGTAGGAGTAGTAGACATGGTTCTATAGTATGTAATTAATGATTTTGAAAACAAACCACTAGAATAATTGAAGAGAAATGTCGATCTCTTTATAGTTGTTGGAGAAGTGAAAAATTTAAACATTATTTAAGGGGGGAGATTTTTCGCAAGGGATAGAGAAAGTCCTTCCGAGTATATGACGAAAAGGCAATAGGAATTAAATACTGTACAAATATCATAAAAAAAGAAAAATTATCGTGGGGAATTCTTTTCCCCCATGTAAATGGAAAGTGAATGATTCTGTGACCGTAATCGTCATCAAATTATAATAATCTTAAAACAAAGCCTACAGAATTTGTTTTTCATGAATTTAAATAATAATTGTAGAATAATGGAGATTTCTTTCATGGAGCAAACAAAACAAAAAAGAAAACTTGTTGAAAATAAAAATGGAAATGTGTTGATTACATAATACACACATTTTATTTTGGTATAGGCTGGGGAAATTTAATCCGAAGACAATTAAATGGGTTATTTCTTTTCTTGTCCAATAATTTCGGAAGTATACTCATTATTATTATTATTATTATTATGTTGAAAGGAACACCTTCCATTTAACGGTTTGTTCACGTAGTTTTTTTTTATTGTTTGTGGAGAATGAAAGTGTAGATTGTACTGTAGTTATTTTTTGCCTTTTGGGGTGGGATTATTTTAAAAGAAATCGCCTTACGCTATTATCAGGGTGTCTATTACTGTATGTGTATCCCCCCACCACACCACAGCACCGCACATTGACAACTTAGACAAAGACAACACTATACTCAATTAGTAGAAATCACAAAGCCTAATGTGTAATAAACCACCTCCCCATTAAGTAATGTTCTCCATGGAGTTGTTGTTGTTGTTGTTGCACATACTTGTACCATCTGGTTGCATTTCTCGGAATAACTATACTGGAAAATGAAGTAACTCACCGAGAATTACTTCGAGCTTTTCGTATTAATTATTGGCCCCCGGATAAGTCTCATGATATGCAATGTTACATTTTGAATTTTTTTTTTTTTTTTTTTTTTGCCCACGGGGTGTATTGGCCGACAGAGAGGGCGAGATTTGTGGGAGGCGGGGGGAATTTCTCGCGCCAATAATCGGGCATCATTACTCGTCGCACGACTGTAAAACTACAATTGAAAATTATTAAAACTATTATTGTGTAAACTCTATAACCGTATCCCCTAAATATATTATATTAACGCATAAATAATGTAGTATATACTAAACTGTGTGTATGTATCTAATTTGACGTGGGTTGTGGATAATCTGACAAATTAGTAAAACTTAAAACCGATCTAATTGGTGGTAATTGAGTACCTGTAGTAGCTATACTTTCCAATTTAGCTTGAGCAGCTTCAATGATGTTACTTTGAGGACCATTACTAGCATTCAAACGTGGTGATTGTGAAGGTGTTTGTAATGGTGTTTCATTTGGTGAACTCATTATTGAAGAAATATTCATTGCTGATTGACATGGTGAATTTGGTCTTGATTTCTTATTTGCATGTCCAACAGTTCCATTACCATTGAAAAATTCCAAATTTAATGAAGTTGATGAAGGCTGTTTGGGTATTATATTAGATTTTGTAGTGTTAGAAGTATTTGTACTAGTTGTTGGAACTAATGGAGTCAATCTTTGTAAACCTGCAAGATTTGTAGATGATGTAGATCTAATCTTACCACTTAATGAACTTAAAGATGAAGAACTAGCATTGAAAATTCTTGGATTATTACTCTTTTGTTGAAAATATTCATTCAAATTACTAAAAGAAGGAGCAGGAACAACAATTGGTGGTGGCATTGCAGAAGGACTTGTATCTGGTGATGTACCTACTGAATGTAAAGTAGAATTTGGTTGACTAAATACTTTACTAGTATCAGAGTATAGGCTAGTATTAGATTCTGATTTGAAAATGGCAGATTGTGGACGTTGAGGTTGTGGTTGTTGGGCAGTGGTGTTTGGTGTTAGTGGTGGTAATCTAATAGCATCTGATGATGTTGATCTTGTAGTCATTGGAACAGCTTGGACAGTAATTTGTGGCTGTGGTTGTGGTTGTTGTGGTAGGTTTTGACGATTTGGAGCATTTTGGTATGAATTTGTAGGAGATGAAGGAATTGAGAAAACAGCAGAACCTTCTTGTTGCAAATGTGTAGGAGTAGACATATTACTATGTGGACTTGCTATGCGTTGTGGTTGAGGTGGTTGAATTTGAATAGGAACCGGTCCTTGTGGTGCTTGTTGTGCATGTGCATGAGGTGGTGGTGGAACAATAGAAAGGCCTGGAGCTTGAACAACAGGTTGCATATAACCATTTGGTTGAGGAACAAAAAATACTGGATATGGTTGATGGTAGACATGATTACCATTACGATCAATAGAAAATGGAATTGCAGTGTTTGGAACAGCATATGAACCTGGAGGAACATTCATTGGAGTAGGTTCAACCAAATCTTGATTCTTATTCTTTCTCTTTCTTGAACTTGGATTAGTATGAATTCTTAAATGTCTTGTTAGTTCATCTGATCTACTAAATCTTTTAACACATCCAGGAAAAGTACACGCATGAGGTTTTTCACCAGTATGGGTTCTAATATGTCTTGTTTGATGTTCCAATCTGTGGAATGCTTTATCACAATAAGTACACTTGTAAGGTCTATCCTCCTTATTCTTTTTCTCCTTAGAAGATAACATTTTTTGATTATTCATGATGGTAGGAATTGTAAACTTTCTTCTTATCAAATTGATATAAGTAATTAAACAGAAATAAATTTCCAACTCCGTATGTTCAAGTTTTTTTTTTTGGGGAGGAGGAGGAGAAGGAGAAGGAGGAGGATCTGGAGTTAAATTTATATGAAGAAATTAATTTGACCCAGAATCAAGCAACTAAGAAAAAAAAAAAAAATATTTGAACTGAGGAAAAAAAAAAGAAAAAAAAAGAAACGTGCACAACCCGCACTTTCCTGCATACCGGCGGGTCTTGCATAAAAAATAATATCAGCTTTGGCGCACTTGCATGATCTGGTTTGTGTAAATTATGCCTAATGGCTTATATAGGCCAAATTTTCGGAAAAACTTTTTGAGTTTTTTTATTCATTTTGAATTATCACTCTTACAAATATAAGTGAGTGCATGCACAAGTTTTGACTACAGCTGTTTTTTTAGTTAAAAGAAATTCATTCCTCCTGCTTTTTTTTTGGTTTAAAGCGAGTATATATTTATATATATGACTGACATCATAATGCTGGATACCTACAAGGTGTATAGAGTGATTTTTCTCTTTTTGTTCATTTGTAGTGCGTTTGAAAGTCTTACAGAAAGAAAGCCATCAGAAGAATTTCAGTGAAATGAACAAGCTGGTGATTCTTGTTTGTAAGAGAAATTTTATTCAATGTTAAACGAGATCTGTGTAACCATAAAACGGTCAATGTGTGTGTGAGTTCTTTCCATGTTCATTACACCAGTAAAGGGAAATCTAATTGAATAATCTTATTAATGGTACCTCTTCCAAGAAAAAATTAACCAGTTTCTTTTTTTTTTTTTTTCTTTATAACCCTAGATACTACAAAGTTTCATTTCTTTGATTTTTATTAATAACGATTATAAGAACAAGGTATCATTTGAGGGTAATGAATTAACGTTCCATTTTGTACGTAAACATGCTCAATGAGAAAGAAGAAAAAAATAAAAAAAAACGAGACCCAGATTATTTACAGAAATAACATTATCAAGAGTTTGTGATAGTCCGATGTTGGGATTTCTCGACTATAATGACATTTGATTACAATCTGTTAGTCTCTCGATCTCTATATTTATTGACACGATTAGATTAAGCCATGACTATTACAACTAAAATGAATCAAAAGAAAAGAAACGTTACGATATCATAATCTCTTATTAAAGATGAGTAAGATTAATTTAATAAGGTGACTACACATCCCCAACTAAAATCCCACACAAAGTTGCAAGTGGGGGGATTTTTGTGCAGGTGTACTTCTCCTCCTCCTCATATCACTCTGGAAAAATTTTTCACTATTTTTCCTAAAATGAAAAAAAAGAAAGAAAAGATAATCCGATGGTGATTTTGGGATTACACAAAACGGATAATGACTTTGTGTAGAATAGGTATTCCGACCGGTAAAACTATACAACCTACGAAGGAGAACAAAAGAGAAAGGCGGAGACAGCTCGATATTCAACTAAGCTGCAAGATAACTTTCCGTTTTGTAAATGAGGTGAAATTAGTTCTGGTATGTAAGACCCGGGAGATCAGAGGAGGAGGAGGAGGCTTGTAGTGGGAATAAGATGGAAAAAAAATAAGACTGAAGTATGATTGGGGAAGAGGGGCAGATGGAGGGGAAGATCAAATGATAAGCATATCATTGACTGAAAAACGGAGGAGGGGCAAATTGATACTGTTGGGGTGGTGGTTTGACATCCCTTGGTCCATTAATGACAGGATATTAGAACAGAAGAATAAAATTGGTTATCTTTCAATTTTCCTTTCGCGTGTATCGGAAACATTCTAAGAATGAGTGTGTATGAAGCTGAGTTCCTCCTTTTCTTTTTCTTTTTTTTTTGGTATCGTTTAGTTTCCTGTGAAGCTTGTTGGTAAATCGGGAGAATTCAGTTTATGTAGGAGAAGTTTGCTATACAAGTTAGCCCATTTGAAAAAATCTAGATATACTTATCAAAGCCACAATGAATTTAAATCTCGTTGTCTTTCTGGTTAGTCATCTTTGATAGATTATAGTTTCCCTAAAATCACCGAGCTATTTTTTTTTTTTGTTTTTTTTTTGTTGTTAATTTTTGTTATCATTGTTCTGCGAAAAGGAAGGTGGAAAGAGGATTTCATTATCTTACCGAATTATTACAAACCTTACAGGATCTTCAATTTTAATAATTTGCTCTCAATTCAACTTCCTTCATTCCGTGTAAGAACTGAAAAAAAAATACCAGATAAAACAATCCACAGTTATTCAAGCCCATGGGGTAATAATATTCATTTATCTAATTGTTCTACATTTACATGTTATTCCATCCCTTCTCTTCCACCGCAAGCTACATTTGCTCTTTGCATGTGCAATTATACAGTTATACGAATCTATTTATATCGTTGTTAGGTAGTAACCAATCTATGATTCTATTTATTAATAATAACCTCATTGAATTATTCATTTCTAGAATCCTCTTAAACCATTGATTTGCTTATTTATCCCTCAATAATGAAACTCCCCACTGTAAATATGGATTTTCCTCAACAATAATTTCATTGTCTTATCTCCTCCACCACATTGCCTTACATTGTTTGCGTTATTTTATTTTCAACTCCTATTTTTTTTTTTTCAGAGCAATACATTTGAAGCGATTGTATGAATTAAATAACCTTTTTTATTGTTAGATCCTGGAGATTCAATTCAAGCAGTTCTCGATGGGGGAGAGAGAGAGAAAGAGAAAGAGAAAGAGAAAGTAAAGCCGTAAGTGTGGAGGATGAGATTGTTATGGAAATTAAAAAGGGGATCCCCCACGTTGATATCACACACACAACATGAGCTCTTGTTTTTTATAGATATTTTAGTTTTAGCTTTTTGTTGACTTTTTAATTGAATTACCGTGTTTATTTAATTCGACAATTTTTTAGAAAGATAACAACGGGGAGGAATAACTTTAAAAAAATATGTAGAATAATCTTCTCCACTTAATTTCAGTACCGGGGATTATAAGAATTATATGATATTAGAAAGTAAAGATGTTCACTATATATGTAACGTGCTTAATGAAGATAAGAATAAGAATGTAAAGTAGGTTGTTTAATTTTTAAATTTTGATAGAAAACTGCAAATTCATATTGAAATTCTTAGAATGTTTTTACTAAATTGTGTTTATTAGTTTATTGAGACAAAACGATAAAAAAAGGGGACAAAGCCGGATAAATTATTTTAGCACACCCTACACTACTACTACTACGAACATATCTCCCCCACCATCTTTTAGGCACATATATAATTAATCAGATGGAAATTATCCATTTGTCTGGATCAACTGGTGATACTTACAGGATGGATTAGAAGTTGTATCGTTGGTATGTCTGAGTATATGATGATTATCGTTCATATAAGTGCATTACAGAGTTTACTCAAATATCTCTTTGCGTAGGTAGATGTATCACGTGATCAAAATGAATATAATCATGATTATACACCGAAAAGCTTATGGAAATCATGCTTAATGTGTAATTAACTACTACTTTACAGTTATGCTCTCTAGTAGTTATGTTTTATATTTCTTTATTGGCTTTTGATTAAAAATTTGTTAAAAATCAATCAGAAATAAACAAAAGTGGGAAAAAAAGATTTGGTAGCGAGGAGTAAAGATTACAAGAAAAAAAATAAACACATACACAGGCAAAAGTATAAAAAAGTTACTTGTGTTTGCAACAAAAAATTTTTTAATTTATAAACCACTTTTTCTTTTTATTTAACGTCAACAATTATATTCATTCACTAAAAGAGATATATCTAATATCCAAGTAGTTCCAAAAAGCAAGTATTTGAATTAATAGTTATTCTTAAAAATTGTACAATTTACTAACTTTCAAAGACAATCATATGTTAATTGTCACTTCAACTATAAAAGTCCCATAATTCAAAAGTGACATACAAATCCTATACTTTTATTATATTCAAGCCCTTTTATACAATCGAAAGGACCTTCAAAAGAAGATAGTGTATGTATATGGGCAAATACATTATCTTGAACCTTTCATCAAAGGAATCTCAAAACATTTTAAATAAGGGGCAAATGTTAGATTAGTGAAGGTCCTTCTCAACCAAGATAACAACTGTTGGTCACTGTTATCTTGGACCTAATTATACATATAAGTTGTGTAATGTGATTGGGTATATGGGGATAAAGAAGACCAGTGACCAGGTCTATTCTCCCCTACTTTTCTTTTTGTAGAGTGCCCGGTCACCACACCTCTCCTCTCACACTCCATTACTGGACCTAAAAGGATGTTGGGAGGGGGGGGATGATGTGGACCTCAAGAGGAGGACCACACTAGGACTGGGTCGGTCCCATAATGACCCAGTTCAATTCTTCCCAAAGAGAAGGATACAATGCCAGCAGAAAGGCGGAACACGACGTCTCATACGGATAACATTAACAAAGAGGAACTGCTACAGATATGTCAAAATGTTACCCTAAATATAGAGGGCATTTACTGATAAATCTAAAGAAAGGAAATAAATATATTAACGTAAGAAAATAGTCATATACAGATTAGATAACAGAAAAAAAAAAGAAATCAACCTTCTAGAAGATCATTTTCTTTATCGATTTCATTATCATACTTGTTACTAATTTTATGCAATTCATCAGTAAAGAAATCGGTAGATGGAGAAGATCCAGATTTACCTTTATTAGTTTGATGTAATGACATCATCAGGGTAGTTGTATCTAAACGATTGGCTTTTTCTGGAGTTGATTTAAATGGACTTATGTTGATCATTTTATTAATTTCATCATTTAATTCTTTTTGATCTTGGTCATCAGATGGTAATAAATTTGAAGATTGATAAGGTGACGAAGGCATATTAGCCATTGATTTTGTAGACACATTGTTATTATTAGATGAGGAGTTTTTAGTTGGTGATTTCTGAGTCGTTAATCCATTTTGAATATCTACTGGAGTTTTTGAATTTGGACTATTTCTATTTTTAGGAGATGAAAAGAAATTCATCCAATCAGTAGTATTTTCATTCAATGAATGAAGGATTTGATCATAATCCTGATCTCTAATTGGTGGATCTGTTGGTGGAGCAGTAATGGATGTTGTTGGAATAGTAGATGACTGTTGTTGACCCAAAGATGTAGGAACAGGAGGAGGACAATTTTCTTTGTTTTCATCATCATTTTCATTAGATGGAATACCAATTACTCTTGTATTTAATTTAGTTGCTTTTTTTGGATTTTCAACTTCATCAACATTAATGACCCTAGTATTTGATTTGGTTGCAACCATTGGAGGAGTTGCACCTGGCAATGGATCAATATCTGTTGATGGACCACCATAAACATTTATTTGATGCAATAAATCCAGATAGTCTGGAGTGAACCCCGGTGGAGTTGGATCATAACTTATACTATTTGGAGGAAAGTTGGAAGTAGCTTTATTTTGTATCACTTGATTAATTGCAGATGGTGTATGAGTTGGAGCTGGGAAATTAGCGCCCGGAGATGATATAGGTGCAGCCGAATTCAATGACATTGATGCACCAGATGCAAGTTTTTTCCCAGCAACAGCATCCAATTTATTAATTGGTTGATCCTCTTTTTGTTTCTTGTTACGAAGTTTTGCATTGTAACGTTGCTGATGAATATATTTTCGAACCACATGTTCTGGTCTCATAAACCCTTTATTCTTGTAAAATAAAAAGCATGCATTACATAATGGACCCAACATTCCTTCGTAATCACTCTTATCAAACTTACTAGCAGTCAATAATTTAGAATATTCAGAACGATATTCGGTCTCAAAATATCTCCAATTGACAGACGTACTGGTACGACAACATTCATTGATACAAACTAAACCATGATTTGAAGGTAATTTGGAACTTTGAATAGTGTGACTTCGTATACTGTCAAGATCATCTGGTAATTGTGTTGGGGTAGGAGGTTTGTATGGAGGTTGTTGTGGAGTGTAAGGTGACGATGCCGATGAGTTTTCTCCTATACTTTCATCATCCTCATTTGGAATATGATCTTCAATAATATTATAGTCTGGGTCATCTGAGTATGGTTCTTCATTGATAGGAGAAGATATAGCCGGGGTAAATGAAGTAATCATGGATCGCGTACGAGAAGCACGTTGTGGTTGAAGTGAGGAAGATGACGAGGAATTGGAATTAGTAACGCGTCTTTGGCTACTTCGACTATCATATGTAACTTTATCAAGACTTTGAAAAAATGGTGCATTCTTAAACCTTTCTTCAACTTTATCTCTTCTATGACGTGGAGTGGTTGATGAAGATTCTGGAAATGAAGGCAATGACAAAGTTCTAGTTGCTTTTGCCGCAGGATAATTTGTTGAATAATGTGACGATGAATATTCATGTGCTCTTTTTCTCTCACTGATAATTTGCAGATTGCTTCTTTGAGCTTTTCTATACTGATGACCTGAATGAGAAGAAGATACCTGTTGTGATTGTTGTTGCTGCTGTTGTTGTTGTTGCTGCTGCTGTTGTGGTTGAGAGATTTCCTTTGGTTTTTCAATAGTACGCAATTGCATTCTAATTTCAAGAATTTCCGACGATGATCTTGATTTGTTACCAAATATGGAGCTTGCACCTAAACTTTGACAAACTCTACCAGGAACCAAGCATGACTCATTAGAATTGAGCAAATTTGAAATTACACCATTAGCAACAAATGGTTCATGAGGTTGTTCACTAATATCTTGGTAATATACTTCGAAATCACGGTAAGTCAAATTGAACGTGTCTGGAGCTGATTTTACAACTTGTTGAACACAATCTTTAAGTTCCAATCCTCCTAGTGTTATTAGTTCAGATTGGTCTGAACCTAGTGGTATTTGAACAGTTTTAACAGGAAGTAAACTTTCTGATCGTGATAAATACACGTTAGGTTGAGTGTCTAACGAGTAGAGGATTTTGATTTGCATTGGACGTATAGATTCATCTTGGATAGTCATTATGGGTGGCGAATTATTATTATGTTTCTAGTGTTGTCTATTTTGTTGGTTGTTGTTGTTGTTGTTGATAGCCCAATGGGTTGGATTGTTGTTTTTGTTTTCTTGTGAATGGGTAATAATTGAGATGTAAATCAGTTTCTTGATTCAATGGTTATAGCAATGGCAACTCAACTCCAAAGGGATGGGATACTTGTTAATGTTCAGTAAAAGCAAAGAAAAGAAAAGTTGTTTATACAATTGGTGAGTTTTTTTTTTCTTACTTTCTGGATTTTAGTGAAAGTAGATTGATGGGAAAAAGTTTTTCTGTTGTTTATAGTTTGTGTAATTAATATGAAATAACCTACTGCAATACAAAAAAGCAATAGGCAAAAAAAAAGAGGAAGTCACGTTAAGTTATGATAGGAAATTTCAAACGGAGAATCACGTAAAAAAAAGACAAACCAAGCATAGACAATACCGGCTGTTCTAGTAGAGATATGTGAGGCTTAATGAATGTAACAGTAAACGATCTCTGTCTGATTCTCCTTCATCAACAATATACACGTCGGGAATTTGCACCTAAAAAATCAAAACAACGCGAAAAGTTTTTTTTTTCTTTCTTTTTAAATTTTTAGTTTTGGCTCACGCGCGCGCGCGTTCTTCCTTCCACGTCGTCGTCGTTGTCGTCGTCGTCGTGCTACCTCCTTCCTTCCCGTGGTGCACTCGACCCACTTCGCCATAAAAAATTGAGTGCAAAAACCAAATTCGTCGCTCCATATAATTTTTTTTTTTTCGCAACCCTTTTACTTTTACTTTTACTTTTACCACACAGAATAATTATCACAAAATTATATTCACTTCATTACTGGCCATCCAGCGAGGATAATAAAACACAAACACGTCAAACACGTCTTCACCTTTATCATCCATCTCATCTCAATTATACACTTTTGTTACTTCAACGTCTACTCATCACAATTGATAATTTATATATTTACACGTGTAAGTTATCTACTTTGTACAGTCTATCTACAAAACAAAACCTCAATCAAATCTAATCTAATCTAATCCCATAATCACTTTAACTTCTTGTAAATTAGCCAGTGCTATTTCTCTAGCTGTATCCCTTCCTTGTGAACAAATCTGTTCTAAATAACTTCTATCTTTCATCAATTCTTCATACAATTGTCTCTTTGGATCAAACTCTTCAATAATAACTGATGTAACATAATCCTTCAATTGTTTATGGTTGGTCACGTGACTCAATGATTCTACAACTTCATCAATTGATTTATTTGTTAAACCAGATACAATATTGATCAAATTAGAGACACCAGGACGTTCGATTGGATCATAGTAAATAGCTCCTTGAATGGAATCAGTAGTTGCTTTTCTGATTTTCAATTCAATATCACTTGGTGAATCAGTAACATAAACACATGAAGTTGCCACTGGGTCAGATTTGGACATTTTCTTAGCAGGATTTTTCAATGATAAAACTTTTTTAGCAGGAGTTAATAAAGTATTAGGAAGTGGGAAATAATCAGTGTTGAAAGTACTATTGAATGTTCTTGCAATATTACGACACAATTCTAAATGCTGAGATTGATCATCACCAACAGGAACATGAGTTGATTTATATAATAAAATATCAGCTGCCTGTAATGCAGGATAACAAAATAAACCAGCTTTTGTCTTTTCCAATACATTATCTTCAAATATAGAACTTGATTCCAGTTGTTGAGCTTTTGATTTCCATTGAGTCATTCTATTCAATGCACCCATACTTGTCAAGCAAGTAAGAAACCAATTAAGTTCAGCATGTTCAGGAACACTACTTTGAAAAAATAAAATACATTTTGATGTGTCTAATCCACTAGCTAATAAACTAGCAATGGCATTATATCTATAATCTTTCAATTCTTGAGGATTCTTAGGAATGGTTATAGCATGTAAATCTGCAATACCATAAATAAACTTATTTGTTGGATCAGTATTAGATTCCGATAATGTTCTCCAACTTTTAACTGCTCCTAAATAATTCCCCAAATGGATTTTACCTGTTGGTTGAATCAATGAAAATATTGTGGAGTTTGATGGTAGAGTCGCATCGGTTTGCTTAATCTCTTGAACAGTTCCCTTAATGGCTTTACTTGCAGTTGAAAGAGATCTTTTTGAAACCAATCCTCTGCAAGACATTGTAAATGAAATACCTAGAGTCAAGTGATTGTTTGAAGTATACAGTGAGTGGTCTATGTAGTGGTTGAGATTTTTTTTTCTTTTTTTTATTGGTGTTCACTGATTATACTGTAGTCAAAAATTTTCTAACGCTCACTCACTCTCGGCGTGGATGATTTTCGATGAGAACTATCCGAAACCAACAACAGAGGATAATAGACTTCCAGTATGATTTTATTAATTTCATTCTATTAAGCTTGGAATATACTAAAATATACTAACAACTACTTATGGTAGTCAAAATTACTTATTTCTATTCTTTTTCATTATACAATTATTAATTATTTCAACAGAAATGGTCGTACAAGCGGAATATTTTCATTTTTATTACTATTACTTATTTATGGTATTCCCTAGTTTTATTATGATTTTTTTTTTTTTTATATTTCTATTTTTTTCTTTAAGTTTGTTTTCTTTTCTTACTTTTGATATTGTGCCTGGCTTCTGTAATGAGAAGATGCACTTTGTAGTTGTGGATTTATGTTATTAGTACTGTTGTTACTATTGTTATTGTTATTGTTGATGTTTGTACCGCGGCTATCACTCTCACCATTTGTTATAAACCCACCAACAACATTATCAATCTGTATACCGTTCTTTCTCAATCTATTTTCCAATTTCAACCTTTGCAATTCTCTCCATCTATTCAATTTAGAATATTCATGCAATTTAAATCCAAAAACTCTTGGAACATATGTTTCTTTAGAATGTACTGGAATTGTATTTGGAAAGTTTTGGAAAAACATGGCTGGGAAAGAAGTACCAAAATAAGCACCATCAATAACAGAATGTCTTCCTGATTTTGGATTATATAAATCTTCACATTTCGAACAATACAATTTAACAGATGCCATACGAGGTTGATCATTCAATCCTATTGGTAATAATGGATTCAACTGACAATGCACCCTAGGACAATAACCGAAATCCCCACTTCTATATTTCTCAAACATTTTATTTAAACCTCTAGTGGTCAAGATGTATCTAGCATGAATTAAACCGTACAATATACGAGCATTATGTTCCAAACTATCTCTATGTTCATCCGGTTGCAGGTCTATATCTATGACATCCGTTATTATATCTATTAATGTAGGTAATTTGGACACTTCTTGATTTAATCCAGTCAAATTAAATCTATCTCTAATATATTCATCATCAATATCACAGAAGTATTCGTTTCCTTTGATTCCTAAGAATAAATCAATCCAATATTCGGTGAAATCAGAACTGGAATCAGTCGCATATTCTTCGGTGGCCATATTTTGATTATAGATGTGTTTGTAATTAACTATTATTGATATTGAATGTATCTATTTTCTTCTTCTTATAACCTAACCTAATCTGATCAGATGGATGGATTGGATTATTATAGTATTAATCTATGAATGTAACAACAACAGATAAATGGAATTGATATCCATATATGAGAAGCACCAGCAGAGAGAGAAAAAAATTTTTTTTTTTTCCCTTGGTTTTCAGATTACCTTGGATTTGTAGATTTTTTTTTTTTTTTATTTTTCTGCTGCTGCTACTGCTGCTACTGCTGCTGTTGTTGTTGTTGAACTTTCTCACACTCTTAATTTACAGTTGCATTGGTTGTCTGGTTTCTAATGTTTTTGTTTTTCTGTGTGTAAAATTTTGACGGCCACCAGACAACCACCAGGCAACCAATACATACAAGGAGTAATACCCAACATAATGAAGCTATTGAAACTTCCACAAGTATTCCACGAGGGGGAGATACACGCCATCGATATAAATAAAGATGGTTCTTATCTCATTTCTGGGGGTAATGATAACCTTGTTAGTGTATGGCATTTACGACAATTGATCGATTTATCAAAAGCTGTTGCCAGCAACAAGGCCACCACTGAGATCAAAAGTAAATTAAAAGCATACAAACCATTTCATGCAATCACTTGCCATGAATGTCTCATTAATGTGGTGAAATTTTTGCCTGGTAAACCTAATGAATTTGTTACCAGTGACGTTGAAGGAAATGTTTTCCACCATACTATGAAAGATGACGTACCAACAACTAAAAAGATTTTTCCATTTGAAAACAAAGATGTTGAGATTAAGCCTATTGTTGATTTGTCAATTTCAGCAGATGATAGATTAATTGCATGGAGTACCAAAGATGGTAAAGTTTATTTATACGATTTGGTAAAAGATAATTTCCAAGAGTTGACAAAGATATACCATGAAAAACCAATAATACAACGAAGTATCGCATTTGATCCAACTAACAATTACCTTATCACCGTGGGAGACAATACTCAGATCAATTTATACCAGTATTGTTACGACAAAGCTAGTGATAACTATACTTTTAGATTGATTAATAAAATTTCTCGTTATTTCAGTCAGAACCCAATGAGCGTTCGATACAAGAGAATTTCATGGTCTTCAGAAGGTGAACTTTTCCCAATCCCTACTGCTACAAAGAATCAAACTATGTTAATCTCATTGATTTCCAGAACCAGTAAATGGAGCAACGCAGAGAATCTTGTTGGACATGACCATGCCAACGAAGTGGTTAGATTTTCTCCAAAGATATTTTCAGAAACCGACAAGAATGCTTATAGAACTCATCATATTGTGGCTTCAGGAGGTTCTGATCAAACAATTGCCATTTGGAACACAACGAAAACTGGTCCAATTACTGTCATGGAGGAAGTTATTCAGGGTGAGGTACTTGACATGGCATGGACTACAAATGGAGAGACATTAATATTTGCAACATCTAAGGGGAAATTGGGTATCATAAACTTTGAACGCGGTGAATTAGGTTATCCCTTTAGTGATGAGACAATGGAAAAAATGATCAAGTTACATGCCAACCTGGTTGAATCTATGTTATTCAGATACCCATATGAGCAAACCGTGGGAAATAGAAAACAATTGCCAAACATAGAATTTTTAAAACAAGCAACAGCAATTCTGGCATTGGAAAAACCAACAAAATATCTGGATAAGGAACAGCCTGGAGACAATGATGAGGATAAGAATGATACAAACAACGATACAAAAGGAGAGATAGTTCCAGAGGTTATAACACCACCAGTATTACAGGAGATACCAGATACTCCTTCAAAAGATATGTTAGATTCTGTAATGAAAACACGTGTTGATTCAACACCAAAACTTCTGAGAAGTTCATCGAAAATGGAGGAGGTAAAGTCAAATAGTCCAGAGGAGATAAAAAAGGATGATTCTGAAGATGCTTCTACTCAAACAGATGGTAAGATCGAAACAAAAAACGAGGAGACCAAACCCGAGAAGGTAGAAACGGAAGAAGATTCCAAGAAGGAAGAAGATTCCAAGAAGGAAGAAAAATCCCCTTTTCCAAAGAAATTATCATTTGATAAACAAAAAGTGACCACCAAAAATGGTAAACGAAGAATCCAGCCGATGTTGATTTCCAGTAATAATGGGCCGACTATACCAAAATCGTCTCCTTCAACATCCACCACTTCAGTGACAACAAAGTCTATCAACAAGACACCAATGGAATTTGAAAAGCCTTCATATTCTGTATCTGATGAGTTTCAAAGACAGAATAAACGTCCGAAAACAGACGAAATAAATGGATCGTCCAAGAAGGCGAAAAGAGAAACGGAACCTGTCAAATTTATTGGATCAGTTATACTTAATCCTAATACAACATTCTCCAAAATTAGATTAGCGACCCCTAAAGTAAGATTTGGATTCCAAGTTAAAAGTCAGATTGATGGATCTCTGGCACTTCTTGATATCAGAAATGGATCAGGTAATGAGGTTAAACCATCAAGGATAACTTATTTTAAGAATGATAAAGAGATCTGGTGTGACTTTTTACCAAAGTATATTCAATTAGCCGTCGAAGGTTCAAATTTCTGGGCTGTTAGTATTGATGACGGTACAGTATTGACATATTCGCGTATTTCCGGAAAAAGACTTTTACCAAGTATAGTTTTAGGTTCACCTGTTTCATTTCTTGAAAGTTATAGTACGTACTTGATGGCAGTTACCTGTATCGGAGAAGTTTATGTGTGGGATATGGAAAAGAAAAAGAATGTGCTCAAAACTTCAATTGGACCATTATTGGAATTATGCAATAAAGATGGATTAGTGAAGTCTGAGAATATCACATTATGTGCCGTGACATCATTGGGTATACCATTGGTTACATTGTCAAGTGGTTCAGGGTATTTATATAACAAAGATCTTGCAGTATGGCAAACAATTACGGAATCATGGTGGTCCTTTGGCTCTTATTATTGGGATAGTGTGGATGATAGTAAGAAACCACAGACATTAGGTATGTTTGATGATGAACAATCAATTATTGGATTACTCGAAAGCAAGACAAATGAAGAAATTATCAGAAAGTCAAGAACAGGTAGAGGGAAATTTTTCAACAAGATTTCGAAGAATATGCTTATGAAAGAAGGGTTTGAAAGTTTAGAGAATACTATATCTATCAGTCATTTGGAAAATAGAATATTATGTTGTGAAATATTGGGTGAAGATAAAGATTTCCACAAGTTTTTCATAACATATGTTCAAAGAATTTGTGAATTGGGATTTAAGGCAAAATTGTATGAAGTTTGTGATCACTTGTTGGGTCCTATTGACGATCCATCTGATAAATCATGGGACCCAAAGATTTGTGGGTTAGACAAAAGAGAATTATTAAAAGAGATAATTACCTTGTGCTCCCAATTCAGAGATGCGCAAAGGGTATTGATACATTTTGGTGAGAAGATTGATGTAGTAAGTAGTGATGTCTAATATTATATACAAGAACTTTTTTTGACTAATCTATAATTTATATACATTTGAATTATCCCAATTCTTTTCACCTAACAATCCACCTATTTTACCTTGTTCATTTCTAACCAAATCTTTTGGACCAGCAACATAATCTATATAACCTTCAGGACCACAAACAATTGCCAAACTTGCTGGTTTCTTTGGAATCTTAGAAGTCTTGATAGCTTGGTCTAAAGCAGTTTCAAAATATTCACCTCTATCTTCAGCAGATTGAATTAATTTATCAGGAATATCCCATTTCATATTATCATTCTTTTGTTGTTGTAATTTTTCTTGTAATTCTTTAATCTCTTCATCATTTAAATATTTTGATTTCTTTTCAAGCGCCAAAGGAGTTATATAATTTGGCTTAGATGGTGAGGTAATATCTTTTAAAGATAAGATTGATTTTGATTCATCATCAAAATGATAAGTAATATTAATTCTATCTAATTTATCCAAAAAGAATAAAAATCTTTGTAATCCTTCACCTAATTCTCCTTTTGATCTTGCTGAATAATGAATATCAACATGACCTAAATATGGGTTTCTAGATAATAAAAGTTGTAAAATTGGTGCAATACCAGTGCCTGCTGCATAAAATACAAGATTATCAACATCAGGTAAATTATTTATTCTTTTAATTGTTTCAATCATATTATCAGGTTCAATTTTTGAAGGTAAATCTCTAAATATTGGACGTTTATGTAAATTTTTTAATGGATGATAAGGTAATTTAAATTCAATTTTTGGACCTCTTAATTCTAATTCATCTCCAATTTTTTTATCAGTTATATATCTTGAAACTTCACCATTTTCATACCTTTTAACATAAATACACATAGTACCTTCTTTATCATAATCTTCAGTTTCTGGATGAATTATTTTTAATAATGGTTTTTTCAAATTATTTTTGGTATATTCACTCTTCATGAAATATAAAGGTAATGGAGTATAACTTCTAACTACATTAATATCAGGTTGTTTTATTTCAACTGACCATAATTTTTCACTACCATTCCATAATGATTTAATATCTGGATTATTCATAAAACTATATTGCCAATGATGATATTTTGGTACTAATTCAATTAAATAATGATCATTATCAATTTTTTCTTTATGAGTAATTATAAATTTATGAAATTCATCAGGATTTAATAATTCTGTACTTTCTTCACCTTCTTCAACATCATTCATCCATACATAATAAGTATATCCACACCAAATCAAAACAATACCAGTTAATAATTTTGGAATATATCTTGTCCATCTAGTTATTGTTTTGGGTTTTTTAATCATATTTGTATATTTATCAGAATTTGGTAATTCGGAAAATTCATGACTAAGTCGTTGATATTTAAGTTTTGGAATATATGGTTTATTATCTTTTTTCATAAGTTGTTCAATACCTGTGTTTTCTAATGGTGCAGGTGCTGATTTTGATGTAGTTTGTTTGAATTTAAATGATTGGACTGATTCGGCATCGTTCTTTTTAGAAATTTCTTTAGATTTATCATCCTCTGGTGGTGATTGGTTGCTGTCACTTTTACTCGAGTTAAATCTCGATGAGATTAATAACCTTGATCTGACTAATGATCGAGATATCAAACCCGCTTGAAGTCGATGTTGTCGAAGTGATAACATTGTTGGATGTGTGTTGAATTATGGTGAATGGTGAAAAAGGTGAAAAATAAAACTAAAAAAAATTGTTCGTGCAGAGTTGAACAAAAATCCGAGATCTTTAAATTTTTCCTTTTTCCCAAAATGTATTGAAAAATTAAATCACCAATATCTTTGATCAATCAATTTATCATTATCATTATCATTATCAGTAATATTTACTAAACACCATGACGATTGAATTGATAAAATCCATAAAGGCACATAATGATAAGGCATGGAGTGTATCATCACATCCTACAATTCCAATTTTAGCAACAGCATCAACTGATCAATCAACAAAACTATATAAATTATCATCAAAACAAGATTTCCCATTGATTGCTAAATTAGATGATGCTCATAAAAGATCAATTCGTTCAGTTTCTTTTAAACCTCCATTAGGTGGGATTGATAATCCACCTGATAATATATTAGATTTACCGGCATTGGCTGCTGGATCATTTGATTCAAATATTAGTATTTGGGGAGTTGATGAACCTGATTCCTTATATGATCTTGAAGAAATAATTGAAAATCAACAAGAAATATTGAGTAGTTCAAATAATGAATGGAATTTAATGGCAATTATAGAAGGTCATGAAAATGAAGTTAAATCAGTTGATTGGAATTATGATGGAAGATTTTTAGCTAGTTGTTCAAGAGATAAATCTGTTTGGATTTGGGAAACTGATCCTGAAACTTTAGAAGAATTTGAATGTGTTAGTGTATTAAATGATCATTCTCAAGATGTCAAAAATGTAACTTGGCATCCTTCTTTGAATATATTAGCAAGTTCTTCTTATGATGATACTATAAGAATTTATAGTCAAGATGAAGGTGATTATGAATGGAATTGTGTTGGTATACTAAATGGTCATGAAGGTACCGTATGGTGTTCAAAATTTGAAAATTTTAAAAGTCCAAATGCAAAAAATTCCGACAAAATAAGATTAGTTTCAAGTAGTGATGATTTAACAGTAAGAATATGGTCTGCTGATAGATTACAAGATGGTAATACAAATGATCTTCCAAGTTCAATAAGAGAAGTTAAAGAAATGACTTGGGAATTAGAATGTATTTTACCTCAAGTACATAAATATCCTGTCTATTCAGTTGCTTGGTCTTCTATTACTGGTAAAATTGCAAGTGCAGGATCAGATGGTAAAATTGTTATTTATTCAGAAACTTCAAGTGGGAATTGGGAAATTGAATCTGTTCATGAATTATCTCATGGAGTTGCAGAGATTAATTGTATAATCTGGGCTCAATTGGATGATAAAACAGAGATTTTAGTCACGGCTGGTGATGATGGATGTATCAATTTCTGGAAAGTATAAACTAGAGGATTCATTGCATCCAAGATTACTACCATTAATAATAATAATAATAATATATTCTAGAAAATCAAACCTATAAGAATTATAAACGCCAGGATACCGATAAGTATCAATAAACAACACAATAACCTACCACTAGATCGTTTTTGATATCTTGATGCTCTTCTTAATTCAGTATCTGCTTCTCTTGCATTTGAACTATAACTAAAGATATTATTTTCAATACTATCAATTTGAAATTGTTGTTCATTAATAATAGACGATAGATTACTGAAAATGTCATTAATTTCTTGAGTATCTTGTTGAATTTGTTGTATTTCACGTTCACGTTCTTGTATCAATAAAGTTTGTTGCTCTAGTTCTTCTGCATTAATAGGTTCATATTCTATTTGTACTTGTTGTTGTTCTTGTCCAGATGTTTCTCCCTGCTCGATACCATTTCTTGATTCTTCAGGTAAAGTACTAACTTTATAAGATTCAAAACGTTTTTGATAATTTTTAAAATTACCTAATGCATCTTTAATTAATTTAATTTGAATTCCTTCTTTTTGTTTAAGATAATTAATAATTTCAACATCTTCATGATTTCTCTCAGCTGCTTCAATAGTTTGATTTAAATTCTTTACAAATCCATTTAATTTTTTAAACAGTTCAGTTGTTTTCTTAAATTGATTACTTAAATTCTCAGATAATTCCAAATCGGATTTATTATTCTCATAATCTTTTAAATCTTGTTTTATACTAGCTAATAATTGAGAATTAATATGGTGTAATTGGTTATCTATACTGGTTGATAAGGAATCAAATTCAGGATAATCTTTATATCTATGTGATTGATTTGTAGCTGTTCTTTCCAAATCTTCATTAAAAGGATTGTTAAATGACATGATGATAACAATTGCGCTGAGGAATAAGTATGACTTTTACGTATGTATATGGTTCAGAAAGAAAGCAATGGCAAGAGGATAAACCATAGTTTATTCTTTTTTTAGGAGAGAGGAAACGAAAGTTTTTGATTTTCGTTTAGGTTGCGTGTACACGACATTCGCTCGTCTTAATTCACTGCCACTCTGGCACGTGATATACGGGTGATCCGGTTTTCGGAGTGGTCAACAACGAAAGCCGAACATGTGTGTCAAAATTAAATTAAATTAAATTAGTCGTACATGTAGGAGGAGAGGGGGGGTCTTTTCAAATTAAATAAATTCATAAAATTACAGTACTTTCTATAAATAATACTAAATGCGTCTCTGGAGATTAATCTCAATACATCTAAGCTTCTTGTTCAGAAATAAATTTTTCACATTCTAAAGCAGCCATACATCCACTACCAGCTGAAGTAATAGCTTGTCTATAAATTTTATCTTGAACATCACCAGCAGCAAAGACACCTTCAACAGAAGTAGTGGCAGTACCTGGGTTAGTGATGATGTAACCAGTTTCATCAGTTTTAAGTTGATTAGCAAAAATCTTAGTAGCTGGGATGTGACCAATGGCGTAGAACAAACCATTGACATTCAAATCACTTTCTTCTTTGGTCTTGTTGTTGACAACTCTCAAAGATTGTAACAATTTACCATCACCTTTAGCTTCAAGAGCTTCAGTGTTCCACAAAACTTCAATTTTTTCATTGTTGGTGACTCTCTTTTGCATAATGGTAGAAGCTCTCAAAACATCTCTTCTAACCAACAAGTAAACTTTAGAACCGTATTTAGTTAAAAACAAAGCTTCTTCACAAGCAGAATCACCACCACCAATAACGGCCAATGGCTTGTTTCTGAAAATTGGAACAGCACCATCACAGACAGCACAAGCAGAAATACCTTGTTGCCAATAAGTGTCTTCACCTGGTAAGTGCATTCTCTTAGCAGAAGCACCAGTAGCAATGATGACGGCATCAGTAGTAACTGGTTCGGAATCTTCATTAAATTCAGTCCATAATTTGAATGGTCTTTGGGAGAAATCAACTTTAGAAATAGTTTCGGTAATAATTTCAGTACCAAATCTTTGGGATTGTTCTCTCATTTTTTCCATCAATTCAGCACCACCAATACCATTTGGGAAACCTGGGAAATTTTCAATATCAGTAGTAGTGGTTAATTGACCACCGGCGGCAATACCATTGGCTAATAAACCTTCGTATAAAGTTGGTTTGATTTCAGCTCTGGCCAAATAGATGGCAGCGGTGTGAGCAGCTGGACCAGAACCAATAATTGTGACTTTGTGATGAACCATTGTGTATGTGTGTGTGTATATATATAAGATTGATTAATAAAAATTAAAAATTAAAATTGATGAATTTATAAAACCAAAAAAACAAAAAAAAAATTTCAAGTGGGACTTTGGTTATTATTTATATAAGAAATTTTTCCTTTTCTTTTAATTGTCCGGTTGATTAGGTCGTGCGTACCGCGGGCGCGCGTGTGAACAAATTCATTCAACCATTTGTCATATGAATGGGACAAAAAAAAAAAAAGAAATTGGCGGGTATACGACATACGACATACACTATACGACATTTCTACCTAGTAATTTCTTTTTTTCTGATGTCGTTGCTGACAAAATCATCAACATGATCTAGACCCAATAGAGAGATTACATTCAACAGCCTCACCATCATCACATCATCAACATCATTATTATTATGTAATCATGGGAAACAATTATAATTTATCAGATGATCACCCTCTATTTTTTTCATAATTATCCAATCCCCTTGATCTGAAGCCGCATGGTCACATATTCAGGTCATGAATTCATTTTCCCTTCTCTGTTTAAGATCGACATTTCGTTTTGATTATTCAGAATACTATTTTTGTTCCGCATCACGTGACTTTGCGAGCCAAACTCCTCCATTCCAATGATTAGTAATAATAAGATCTAGGCACAATAACATCTACGCATTAAAAAAAAATATACGTATCACAGACTTATGCATAGACTCATCTAGATTGTGGGGAATGATTATTAAGTTACATTACACATATAGACATGTCAAGTTGTTTAAACTTAAATTAAAGACTGGTCTTTTTCAGTCAATGCAATAATGTAAAATCCCGAGTTCGGAAAACAGGAATATCGTAGAAATTCTAGAATATGTAGATCCTCCTATTACGCTTACATTGTAACTGTTGTTGTTGTTGTTGCAAATCATACTGTGAGAAATAAAACAATTTTAAACATTATTATTAAAACAACACAAATAAATATACACACTTGAAAATTAAAAATCCAAATTAAAATCAGTCCATTGATCAAACCATTGAAGATTACTCAACAAATTATCAATTTCAGCAGAACTGTAAACATCAACTGGTTCACCAGAATTCAAGGGCAATGGATCTGATGATTGACTTGCTGGTGAGTCAATTACACCAGAATCATGACCATGTCTATTATCAGTTGGACGACGTATTTGACTTTCAAAAACTTCATTAAATTGATTTGATTGAGATGATGGCAGACCATTACTACCACCAACATTGTAATCATCACCATCATCAATAGCAGTACCCAATTGTGTAAAATGTTGTTTGTTAACATCGGATGATCCATGATCAACACCAATACCATTCAAAACACCAATATCTTCTTTTAATCTCAATGTCAACATTCTATTTGCCATCTTTAATGCCCACATACATTCTCTAACCATCTTGAATCTTTCTCTGAATATCAATTTATTTTGATCATCTCTAATAGGAGATTTCCTAATAATAGTCAATAATCTAATTGAATTCTTCAAAATATCTCTGGCTTGATTGATCATCACTCCAGCATTGATCAATGTGATAGCATTAACACCAATATTGAACAATAACATTAGAACAGAATACCATGGTGTATATAATAAACCAGCTTTGTTGGTCTTATCTAAAACTTCAACAATACCATTACATGCATCAACAACCATCTCAACTTTTAATCCATGACTAGCAATTCGTCTTCCAACATAATTAAACAAGACCTTGCTATGAATACACAACACCAAGTCATAATAATGCAACTTGACCTGTGCTCTAATTAGAGAACTAGAATCTTTCTTGTTCTTATTGAATAACAAATCATTTCTGAAACCATTATTCTTCATCCAATTATTTAAATTAACTAATTCTGTGTTCACTTGTTGATATTTAACATAATGAGGATTATCATTTGGAAGTGTATGGACGAAATTAGCAATTCTTGCTATATGAATCATAGCCAATGACTCAATAGTCAACCACGAATCATTAGTAGATTCTAAATTAAAATCCATACTTGGGTAAGCTACCGTGAAGTCCTGTTCTCTGATTCCAGAATATCTACCAAGTTGTAAACCAAAGATTCTATCAAATGAAAATACTGCCCAGAAGAGTCTTTTGGCTTTTAATTTTTCATATGGTGTTGAATTGAAGATTTTTGGATTTTCATCAAAATAACCAAGACCCATAGATTTGGTCATAGTAACTGCTTCACCAAGAGCATGAGAACAGGATGTTTGTCTATGAGTTACACGCAAATATAATGTAATCAACAACCAAGCTTGAATCAATTCAAATGATTCCCATTCAAAACTTAAAATTGAAACAACTTTATATCCATATTTGAATAATCTTTCTTCTAATTTCAACAAACTGATATCAACATTCTTTGGTTTCAGAATTTCACTGAAACGAATAGCCAAGGCAAAGATAAGATACAAAATAGCACTAAACAAACGAGTTTGGTTTGCTTTAGAATCCCTTTCATCTTTACTCAGGGACATGATATCTTCTCTAAGTAATTTATCGTACGCTGCCAATTGTTCTTTGAAAACAACCTCATGAAGAATACCAAACAATGGATTGATTTCTTTAAAGAAATACTTTATCAATACATCATCATTCACATTTTCACCATTTAATTCAGGCAAAGGTGGCAACTCTTCACTACCAACATAATTAACACCACTAAGATTCCATCCAAAATATTGGGTTCTTGGTAAAGTAACCAATTCACGCAGTTCTTCAGATAAATTGGAATACATTGATTTACACAATTCAACAATTAAAAGATTCTGATGACGTCTCGAGAATCTCCATTTTGAACTAGTTGTATATAATGTATCTTCAATGTATTGAGATTCTGGTTCAGCAGTATCAGGAGCCTTAAAAGTGTTAACTGAATCTCTAGCTAACAAACTTTCCAAATATTGAACTCTATTCTCCAAATGTTTAACGTACTGACCGGAGTCAGATTTCTCAACAACAGGTAATCCAAATGGTTCAATAACTTTGGGTCTTTTCAATTCAGGGCCTCCGTCGGCTTTTTTAGCAACTCTTTTCTGAACAGGTGGTCGAACACTGAAAATACATTCTTTACTTTGTCTTGAACATGTAGCACATGGTTGTTCACCAGAACATTTGATTTTATGAGTACGGCAACGATCACAAGCCTTAACTACTCTCATTCTTGGTTTAAATTCACCACTTTCATCTCGAGCTTTAGTTGTTGTTGGATTTGCACGTGGTTGCTTTGGCGGTTTTGGAGCAGCTGGTTTTCTCACAGGTGGTGAGGATGAAGCTGATGATGATGTTGGTGAAGCGTTTCTATTCATTTGATGAAGACGTTGAAGTTTTTGAATTGGGTGTAATTGCTCCAATTCATAATTTGGTGAATTGGCTTGGAATGCAGCTGATGGAGTGAAGGCTGACATTGGTGGTGGAGCCAGAGGTGTTTGATTACCTGAAACTGGTGGACTTGTATGAGTAGCGGTTGGAATTGCTGGTGGTAATGTTGTAGGATTTTTGATTGGACTTGATTGAGCCAATGGAACACTTGGACCGATAACTGGAGGATGAGATTGATCTTGGGTGGTGGATTGTCTCATATTCAGTTCGTTCTGTCTATTAGTTGACAGTTGTGGTGTTTTGAAACTACCCATAGGTGGAGCATTAGCAATTGGTGGTTGGGCGTCACTAGTCTGTTTAGGACTTGACTGGGTTGACTTTGGAGCTGCTTGATTAGCAGAAGGAGCGGCTGCAGCAGGAACAGCAGTAGTAGAAGCAGCAGCAGCAGAAGAAGAAGCAGCAGCAGGGGTTGAAATTTGGCTTGTTTGACCTCCTTTTGAAGGACTATTTTGGGTAGATGGTGGTTTTGATGATGAAGAATCGGCAGAATCTTTACTAGAACCACTTTGTTGCAGTTGATCTGGCATATTATCCTTCGAATTATCTTTAGAAGACCGTTTAAACAAGAATGCCATACTCTAGTGTTTGTCTAAACAGAAAAAGAATAAGCAACAAAAAAAAAATTTAGCTGGAAAAAAAAAAAACATGCGAACCGAATTTATCATCCGATTTGTCGACAACGGAAAAGAAAAGGATAAAAAAAATTCAAACACGACCTCTCAACGGAAAAAATAAAAAAAGACAAGTCGTGCGACAATGCACAGAAATGCAAGATAACGGAGTTAAGGGACACAAATGGAAACGGTATAATTATTCCCCTATACATGTACAGATATCCTATTTAATTTCCAGTTAAATCAAATACTATCTTCTTAACTTTATGTTTCTCAAATAACTCAAACGCTTCTTTGCTGTCTTCTAATTTAGCTTTGTAATCAATAAAAGTCGACAAGTCTTTTTTCATCTTTTCAAATATTTCCAATGATTCGGGGAATAATGACCACGAATGACAACGACCAAAGGACATATTAATGTTCTTTAAATAAACATCTAATCCATTAAAAGGGAACGGTTCATGACCCATACCAATTGATGAAATAAACCCATTTCTTCGAACAGCATCAAAAGAAGTTTTATGTGCTGCTGCTGAACCAACAACTTCTAATACTGCATCAAATCCAACATTATCGGTCTGAGTCTTGATATATTCTTGTATTCCATTAGGTTCAGTTTCAAAATTAATAACTTTAGCAGCACCTAATTTTTTAGCTTCTTCTAATCTTGATGGGACGTTATCAACAACGACAATTTTCTCAAATCCAAAGTATTTTAAAATTCTTAAGGCACATAAACCTACAGGTCCAGCACCTAATTGCAAAATTGAACATTCTTTAAAAGTTTGAGGTTTGATTCCTTCAGCTGCTGGAATTGAAAGAAAATCTTTAATTTTTTTAACTCCATAATATCCTGTAGTGAAGATATCAGCCATTAATACATAAACAGAATCATCAATTCCATCATTTTGAGATTTAGGTTTCTTAGTGATTGTAGATTCAGCAAATGGAATTCTTACATATTCAGCTTGTCCACCATCTAAACCAATTTTACCAAAAGTATTAGTTATATCACATTGTCCTGAATATCCATGTTTACAATACCAACATTTCCCACACTGAATTGAAAAATTACTAATTATTTCATCTCCAATTTCAAATTTACTTATATCTTTACCTGTTTCAACAATAGTTCCAACAAATTCATGACCTAATATAGTTCCCACAGGTCCTTTGATATGTCCCCTATAACTATGAAGATCAGTACCACATAATCCTGAATATTTAACTTTCACAATAACATCATCAGGGTTTTGAATTTTTGGTGTTGGTCGCTCTTCAGTTCTCACATCATACGGACCGTAAAACACAATTGCTTTCATTTTATCAGGAATTCCAGTCATTTTCTTTTGGTAGATTAAATGATAAGAGATAGAGATTGTATGAAAATATTCTTCAACAAAATGGGGAGGGATAAATTGGCTGATTTAAATATGCAAGTTTCCATTATCCGCTAATTATGTGGGGCATGGAATTTTTTCTTGCAAAACAATAGAGTCTCCTTATTCCTCGGCCAGAAATACCAAAAGAGGAAATTATAGAATGCGCCGCAGCATGAATAATATATATATAGATTGTAATCTTCAAATAGAATAGAAGTGAATGTTTATGATAAATAATAATAATAATAATAATAAGCTAAACTAAGTAAGTAAATAAACTGCTCCATAGCATATGTCGAAGACCTGAAAATATTTGTTTATAACCCAAGAATCGAGTTAATAAATTATATGATAAGAAAAGAAGAATATTTAAACAAATAATATCACCAATGATAGCATAAGTCATATAAACAGACAATGTGATGAATTTTAATGAAGAATCACCTAGTTTAGGGAAATATTGTTGTAAAACATGGGAAAACTTAAACACCAATGTATTTGTTAATAATTTACAAGTTGAAGACTCTGAAGTGGATATACAATCAGCTTGCAACATCGAAGCTGTTATATTAACATAAATCATTTTTATAATTTGAAAACTTGATAAATCATTATATTCATCATATTTTAAAAAATACATGATTTTGTTATTATGAAAATGAATCACTTCTAATCTTTCAAGTATTGCTGGGGAATCTTTCAAAATATAAGTCAATACATCCCTAATGAAATTATCCGAAAATGTAATAACATCACAAAAGATAAATAATCTTCGAATAATCCCTTGGAAATATATTCCTGATCCAATTATAAAAGTAGTGAATCTTAATGCCCTGACTATCATAATTGCTGCCAATGTAACTGCTTCCACTACATAATGTTTAATATTTCTCCATGTTAAGTCTTTCCAAATAGCTTTATAGTGTATTACTATCAATGGGATGTATGTTAAATACCAATTAATATGATAATATTTCCATTGATTCTGTAATTCTCTTTGACGTTGTAAAGCAATTTGCATATCACTAATTCTTTCATTCCTTTCATCTTGTGGAAACTGATCTAGGTATCTATTAAATTGTCCTCTTTGGAAAACCTCCATCAAGGATGCATCTAGGTCTCTGAATATATCCACATGTGCATCCATGTTTGAAGATAGGATTTGACAACTAGAATGAATACTATGTTGATTAACGCTTTAAAGAAAGAAAAGCAAAAAAGAAAAGAAAAAAGAAACCGTGGTTGTAGAATGAGCGGATAATGGTTGATCTCAAGTGTGAGATTTTTTTTTCGCTCTCTTTATCCAACATCTCCGAACTATCGGATCAACAAGTTGCTAAGGAATTATTATGTCTTTTGTAATAATACATACTGTACATTTAATATACATACAAGAGATGAAGATACTTAACTTTTTGCTATCTTAGACTCGGGTCCTTGTTCTGAACTTTCATCAAGTTTTCGCTTATCACCAATGGATTCCTCTGTACCGTTTGGCTTCGAGTTATTGGTGTCTTTCGTTTCACTAGTTTCCTTCTGCTCACTGACTTCCTTCTGCTCACTGGCTTCCTTCTGCTCACTGGCTTCCTTCTGCTTGTCTTCCTCTGGTTTGGCAATCTCATTGGTGGTACTCTTCTTTTCTGTTTCTCCAGCAGAAGTCTTCTTCTCCTCCTCTTTCGTGTCCTTCTTCTCCTCCTCTTTATCATTCTTTTCAGTTGAATTCTGATCTACCTTAGTATCGACTCTGTTGGAACCCTTGCCAACGGCTTCAAACTGTTCAATCAGAATCTTATTCATTCTATCAAACATTGGTGTATTACTTCTATATTTTGGTTCTTCTTGACCTGCTTTCAATATTTTCTTGATGAAATGAAAACATTTCAAACAAGTTTCATAGTCAGTATTCAAATAATCCCTCAACAATCCATCAGGCAAGAATAAATCTTTGTTTTCTTCCATTCTTCTACCTTCAACAATAGCTATAATCATACAAACACCAAAGATAACATTCATTTCATAACATAATATAAGTGGTAGCACCGATAATGCTTCGATTAAAGAAGTTGTCATTTTCAAAATATTAATTTTCTTTTCATTAAATGAATCAGAATTATGATAAGTTTTAAAAATCCATTCCCTGATATTATAAGGTAATATTAAATCAAGATCAAAATTTAATTTTCTCAACATTAATTCTTCTCTGAATAATAATTGATCTTTCCATTTCCAATAAATTTCATTTGTAGTATCTATTGGTTTTGAACCGGGTGGAGCTTTCATATTACATGCAATCTTAGCAATACTATCAGGTTGTCTATAAGTATCGTTTAATTTACAAGATATAAGTAAAGCAGCACAAGCAACATAATATTTAGATTGTGATATTGGAACTCTCATAAAAAATCGATGTAGATAAGTGGTAGCTGCTAACATTGATCTACTATCAAGTTTTAATTTTGTTCCTAATTTAATTAAAAAATCAATTAATGATTCTTTAAGTCTTAATTCCATGGCTAATGGAACTCGTTGCTGTCGAGTAGGAGAATCTTCCAATACGGCTTCTTCACTGAAAATCCAAGTTTTGTTTAGTTGTTTTAATTGGGGTAACATTAGACTATAGTCACGAGTGTCATCGGAAGTGTTGGATAGACTAGATGGCCCTGCTGTCATTGCTGTTGGTTGTAGTGGTGGTGGTAGTAGTAGTAGTAGTAGTAGCGGTAATAAGAATGATTAACTGTGATTAACAGGAAATAACAAATACTGAATGAGAAAAAATTAAAGAAAGTTTCTCGGTACTGTTTTATGGGCAGGTGACACGACTAAACAACGATGAGTTTTGCGAGATCATCAATAATTATAACATGGCAAGTAGATGTTATGTTACATTAACTAGTTTGACAATCGGAAACATACATCTCAGAAGTGGTTTCTTTACCCTGTAATGATCTAAATGTAGCAATTACTATAAGGCAGAGATATTTCCTGGTTCTATAGGCAAAACAAAATGGCTCGGTCTGTTCAAACCAGAAACTCTACTCTAATCTACATCAAATAACCAACTATAAACCATGATTCCTTTTATCTCGTCATACATATATATCATACTCCATCTATCCCTAGATGATACATACATGTTTCATCTGATCTTACTAGGTAAGTTTTGAACAACTGTTACTACCATACAAAACCAATTTCCTGCATATGGGCGATCTGAATTGAAAATTTTTCTCTTCCCAAAGCTCTTCAAAGAAAGAGAAAAATATTTGTTCATCAAGCGTAACGACCACTACTATCCATAGGACTGAATCCCATTAAGTTTTTGTTAATCTAACGATGTCTGAATCAAACAATACATTTATGCATTTGGTCAGACCAAATGTTATAGCTCCAGCTGCTGGATCTGCCAATGGACCAGCTAATGTTAAAATTCAAACCCCAGCTATTTTAACCATTTTAGAAATTATATCACAACAAATTTTAAATAAAAGAATTATTGGTACTTTATTAGGGTCTCGATCAGATGATGGATTAGAAATCGAAATTAAAGATGCCTTTATGGTTCCAATTAATGAAACTGGTGATTCTATTGCTATTGAAGAACAAGTTCATAAATCATTATATCAATTATATAAAAAAGCTCATCCTAAAGAATCAGTATTGGGATGGTTTGGAAGTTCTAATAAAATAGATGATATTACTTCATTAATTCATGATTTTTATTCAAAAGGTGTTGATAGAGCTTTCCCATATCCTGCTGTTTATTTAAATGTTCAATATTTAACTCAAGATAACAAAGTTACTAGTCCTACTTTTACTACTTATATTGCTGCTAGTGTTGGTAAACCAGCTATTGCTGCTCAACAAGTTGGTTGGAAACAAGCTTCTACTCCAAATAATTCATATATTTTCACTCCAATTCCAAATGAAATCATTGGTACTACCACCATTAATCAAAACAATGATGTTTCATTCTTGAATCAAAACTTGGATTTAGTTAAAGAAAATATTCAATCTGTATTGAAATTCATTGAAAATTCATCAACTAAAAATGGTGCTGAATCAGATGCTGATTTAGATATTTTGAGATTATTATCAAACAATTTACTTAATAAATCTCCATTTACTAATCTTGCTGATTCTTTCAATAACCACAACCAAGATTTGATTATGATTGAATACTTGATTAGAGCTGTACAAGATCAAATTAGATTAAGCGAAAAGTTAAGCGCCGCTTTTTAGGTTTCAAATATATAGTGCATTAATAAACTGTATTCTTTTTTACATTTCTGAATCCAGAGTCACGTGAAACATAGCAACACAAAATTGCACGATATTTCGGGCGGTAAGTATTCTATCTTTCTTCGTGGGGTTGTTTGTGAATTGCCCCGTTAATAACGTTCAAGCTTGTGTTTCAGATAGTGGGGAGGAAGGAGAAAATAATTACATCATAGAGAAATAATTTGGTATTGTTTTTCGGATTAACTTTCCCCCAGAGATTTCAGAACAAGTAGTTGCTCCGCTTTAACAATAATCGAGATCTATTATATAATCGCAGCAATATAATCTAAGACCTTTTCTTAACTTGAATAGCTACATTTAGTGCATATCGTTTTGAAAAGAAATTGCTAATAGCAAGTTATTGCCCCCAAAGAAAAAATCCCACAACTCGGAAAGACTTTCTATCTGCCTTGCGAAAAATCTCCCCCCTGAAATAATGTTTAAATTTTTCACTTCTCCAACAACTATAAAGAGATCGACATTTCTCTTCAATTATTCTAGTGGTTTGTTTTCAAAATCATCAATTACATACTATAGAACCATGTCTACTACTCCTACTATTCCTACCATTAAATTAAACTCTGGTTATGAAATGCCATTAGTTGGTTTCGGATGTTGGAAAGTCAATAATGAAACTGCTGCTGACCAAATCTACAATGCTATCAAAACTGGTTACAGATTATTTGATGGTGCTGAAGATTACGGTAATGAAAAAGAAGTTGGTGAAGGTATTAACAGAGCCATTAAAGAAGGATTAGTTAAAAGAGAAGAATTATTCATCACTTCTAAATTATGGAACAATTTCCATGATCCAAAGAATGTTGAAACTGCTTTAAACAAAACTTTAAGTGACTTGAACTTGGACTATGTTGATTTATTCTTGATTCATTTTCCAATTGCTTTTAAATTTGTTCCAATTGAAGAAAAATACCCACCTGGTTTCTACTGTGGTGATGGTGATAACTTCCACTATGAAGATGTTCCATTATTAGATACTTGGAAAGCTTTGGAAAAATTGGTTGAAGCTGGTAAGATCAAATCTATTGGTATTTCCAATTTTACTGGTGCTTTGATTTACGATTTGATCAGAGGTGCTACTATCAAACCAGCTGTTTTACAAATTGAACATCACCCATACTTGCAACAACCAAAATTGATTGAATATGTTCAAAAAGCTGGTATTGCCATTACTGGTTACTCTTCATTTGGTCCACAATCATTCTTGGAATTGGAATCCAAGAGAGCTTTGAACACCCCAACTTTATTTGAACATGAAACTATTAAATCAATTGCTGATAAACATGGTAAATCCCCAGCTCAAGTTTTATTAAGATGGGCTACTCAAAGAAATATTGCTGTTATTCCAAAATCAAACAATCCAGAAAGATTAGCTCAAAACTTGTCTGTTGTTGACTTTGACTTGACTAAGGATGATTTGGACAATATTGCTAAATTGGACATTGGTTTGAGATTCAATGATCCATGGGACTGGGACAACATTCCAATCTTTGTTTAAATTCAATAAGATCTGTGTTTGTTTATTAATTAATAGATAGAAAATTTTTTTATATGGCATCTAAAACAGTTTGTCTACCTAAAACTAATAATTTTAATCTACTTACAAAATCATCTCTTTCGATATAAGCACCACATAATCTTCTTTTACCTGTAAATTCAGTTCTCAGGTGGAAACATCTCCAATTATCAAAAATCAAGCATTGGCCAGGCTTCAATTGATAAAAGATTTCATTTTCTGGAGAACTAATAATACTAACCCAATTACGAATAGCTTCATAAAATTTTGGTACATCATTTGGATTCTCCCAATTATCCATTGTTGATCTATCACTTTGATTCCATCTAACTTGTAATAATTCACCATTATCATCAAGTTTAAAAATAGGTCTTGGTTCATCTGGTTGAATACAAACTTTTTCTTCCCCGGCAGAATGAGCTGGAATTTTGATTCTTGTCATGATTTCATAACTTTCTGGATACTTCTCTTTCAAAATTTCAGCACATTTAAAAGCATCAACCAATGAAGTGGTACCACCAGTTCCATCATGATATAATAAATGGAACAATTGTAAACCTGGAGTATTTGACCAATAAGTACCATCAGTATGACTACTGATATCAAAATTTGTATATGCCGTATCGGCTTTAGCTAAATCAGAAGTAAAATCCCAAAATCCTCCATAATGAGTTGGTCTAATATAATTTAATTTTTCACACAATTTTTCAGTATCTTCAGGAGTAACAGGAACGTTATCAATAAAACAAAATCCATGTTTCCAAATTTTTAAAGACCAATCTTTAATAGCATCTTCATTATCATCTGTAGATTTCATAACATCATTGTAATCAACACTTGGTAAATTATTCTCGATATCTTTAACTTGCCATAATTCTCTTGCAAGTAAAGTATTTGCACCTTTTAATTTTTCAGTGATTGGAATTAAACGTGGCTGATAAGAATGTAATCTTAACCAATGGAAATCATATTTCGAAACATGATCATCTTGATCCCAAGTGATCTCCAATTCTTTGGCTGTATCATTCAATTGAATAGATTTTGGTTTAATATCTGGATTAATCAAAGCGGAATTTAATAATCTTTGTTTGGTTAAAGTGTAGTAACAATTTGAACAATGGCAATTGTCACGTAACCAGATATTATGATACTTGGATGATTTATCATCAGACCAAGTTAATTCAATCAAGTTTTCCTGAGGAGTAGCTAAAGTAACAGACATTGGTTGGTAAAAGTTGTCTATGGTGTCTAGATTGTTGTAAAATAAAAAAAAAAAAAGAAGAAGAAGAAAGTTAATTTCAGACAACCCCGGATTTCTCCTTTTGGTGGTTGTCCATTTGTCCTCATTTCTCGTACGCCCAATGATCGAATGATTTTCGTGGTAGCGGAGTGGAGGGGAGAAGGAAAGAAAAAAGCGGAAATTGATTCGACAACAACCGTGATTCGGAACTTGTTCATTAATTGACAGACTGGACGGAAAACAAAGTGATAATTGCTGTTGAACAGGAAATTATTGCCTCTATATATAGTGTAGTCCCTATTGGCAAAACTAGACATGAATAACTTGGCCATATGATGATTTACTCTCCTATAATAATTAATTTGGTTTTGAGCACAGGTACACGCACAAATTGTTTTTTCTCCTATTTTTTTTTTTTTGTTGAAGTATAAAAGAGAAAGTCAATCCCGCCCAATTTCAAAAAAATGCAATGTTCAAAATACTTCTATTTCTACAGGATATTTTATTTATTTCGAATTTGTCAGTGTTTAGTTTTGATTTTTTACAAATGATAATTTACTGAGTTTTGTAACGTTGTCATGATGCTAATGAACAGTGTATATGTGCTTTATTTTGTTCCATTTTGTTGTCTACTAACTTATCTTTATCATCATATCTAGCACAATGTAATTAGTTTTAATAAATGAATTTCTATACGAAAGTTATAATCCATTGATATTAAGTAGAATTAGAGAAAGGGCTACGCTATTCCATAACGCTCAACTCTTTGCGTTAATCTCTCTAATCTAAGAAGTATCAACACTACCTTCTCCTTTGAGTGAAGTCAAAACTTCATTGTCCAAATAGTTTGTTTTTTTTTTATGAATTATCCAGAACTTTTGATCCTTGTTAGTTTGTATATGTGAAAAATAAACCAACAATCTGCAAAGAGTGTATCTCTTAATTTATACACTGAAATGCACAAATACGATAGAATTATTTCCAGTTCTTTTCAATTTACCAGTTATTTTATTAACAATCGACTTCAGTATGACCGTACTCGGAGGACCCAATATGAGTCTTGGAATTAGAAGGAAATTTATACAAACTTACGCTAAAGATCATCCAAACTTGAGAAACGAAATGTAACTCAAGTGTTAACTGTTGAGATGGATAAAATCCCTGAGAGCATCAATGTTCTAGCCAGATGGCCAATTTCAATCAGTAGTAATAGTTAGGAACGATATATTCTAGTTTTGTATGTAATTAATATTCTAGAATTGTATCTGTGTAATTATACATTAATCTTGTCCCATTCGGTATCTACTTACAATACGGCAACAATTTCATGTTGAAATGAATTTCTTTTAAATTGGTATAATTTTTTGCGTAAAATTTTCAATTACGTAATTCAACTGAGGAGATGAGAATCTACCGAATTCAGACCCAGAACAATAACCCATACCCCCACACTTACACACACACTCACTCAAGAGGGGAGTGAGAAGAGTCTTAATGAAGTGAAATTTAACCCACACTAGACCCTATTGTAGCAATTGTCAATTACTTGAAAAATAACTCCACACGACTTATAATGAAAAACAATAGGAGCTGAGATGAGATGAGATGCAAGTTCGTGTGAGTGTAAAAAATTTGAAAAAAAAGGGGGGAGAGATAAATAGAGAGGGGGAAGAATAGGAAGAGAAGACAGAATTGTAATACAACATCGTGTGAGATCTTACAAAAGAAGACAAAACTGGATACGATCAAGATGGGAAAGCAATATAAAAAAAATAAATAGGGGGTGTAATGGTGAAGATTTTGATGATAGTAATAATAATTTTTAGCTCCTTGAAAAAAGTGAAATTTTTAAAAAAAAGTGTAAAAAAAAGAACAAGGAACCAATAGACGAGGGGATGAATATTCTGTTGATTTAACCCGTTTTGGGATAAAGTATGAACGTGTAACATCAAACTAACATACTAATGTAAAACAAATACGTTGGATATATTTGGTTATCTTCCTACTTCTACACACACACACGCACACGTTATCACAAGAAGTATAGAATTGAAATGAAAGATAAGAAGAAAAGAAGAAAGGTGTCAAAAATATTCTCCTTCTCTCCACTAAAAACACAATAACACAAAATACTTTTAGACCGATGTATTCTGTGTGAATTAATTTAAATCAATCATGAGATTTTTCTATTTTCCTCCGTCATTTGTACTAAACAAATTTATCTTGACTGTGGCTTTCATTTCTCCCACGAACTAGCTGTAATATGCAATAATGAGCATATTCCTTAGATAGTATCATGTAATTAGAAGGGGTGAAATGAAATAGCAAAAGTCGAATTGGGTGAGTGGGGGGCTCAAGATGAGGTTACATTGTCGTGCACCACCCAGCATTGTTTCTATTGTAGTTGTACTATTGTTGATTCAAGGAGTAAATTGATTTATTCAGTCTCTCTGTGAGCAAGTATCCAGTGTACGTTACATTGTGAGGGATATAGTGATACACATCTTGAATCCCAATTGAAATCATCTGTATAAAGCCGATATTAAATTTCTCTACCTCCAATCAGAAAAGCGAAACGAAACGAAAAAGAAAAATTAATCTCGCACTAAAATTTGCTGCGCTGTGCCGTGCTGTTCTGATCTGTCCCGTCCCGTGCTGCCGTGCATTTCTCCCTCGCTCCCTCGCCTTCCTCGCCCCCCTCAATTCCATCTTCATCATCATCGCACAACCAAACAAACAAACAAACAAAAAACAAACAAGGAACAGGAAAGAGAAAAAAAATTTTCCTGTTTAATATCAACATCTTCTTCTTGTCCTGCTTTGTTAATTATCAACAAAATACTATTCAATCTTGTTTTCCACTTGTTTCCAAAGGTGTTATACACATTAGAAGTACAAGCACTACAGTTATATACATATAGTTTGAGTTAACATATTTTTTTTTTTAGTATTATCACTCCAGACATTTCTCCCAATCTCATCTCCAGTATTAATAACACTTAGTTCATAATATATCGCATCCTATAAGATAAGATATTCAACAGTATAATACTATCTCATATATTAATACCATTTAGATACATTAATCTTTAAAAGAAAGAACAAAAAATAAAGGGGGAACAACAACTATTTGATTTTAAAAACAGTTTGTTACTTTTCATAATTTTTCTTTTCTTTTAATTGAGTTTCCAGATTATGTATAATTTTAGAAATAATTCAACCAAAAATCCATTTATTTTTAGCTATTTTACAAACCATTTCTTTATATCACTTTAAATTTGTTAACAGTATAGAGTTATAAAGGACTTCAACAGTTATTTTCACAAAGACTATTATATATCAAAACAAAACAATCACAAAAGGGAAGTAATGGGTCAAAGTAACAAGACTTCCAGAAAATCGGTAACACCAGGTATCCGCAAAGGTGGTGGTAAAACCGTTGGTAAAAAATTAAAGAAAACTATTCCAAGAAAGACCATTGATTGGTCAAAATATAACGTCAGCTCCGATGATGATGACGATGAAGACGAACAAGATGAAGATGAAGACGAAGAAGATGATAATAACAACAGTGATGAAGATAATTCACGCAGCATGAACTCTGATAATGAAGAAAGTGAACACTACAACCTTGATGGTTTATATTCACTTATTGATAAATCAAACAAATCCGTCGATTCTGATGCAAGTAGCAGTGTTGACGATGAAGAAAAATCAAATGCCGGTTATTCATCGAGTGAATCTGATGATATCATGTACAGTTCCTCATCTGATGAAGATGTCGATTTTGTTAAACTACAGATTGCTAGAGCAAGAAAGGGTTTGAAGAGTAAACCAAAAAATGATATTGCTATTGCATCAGATTCTGAATCAGAAGCTGAATCTCACTCTGAATCCGGAGTTGATGGCGAGTCCGAAGTGGCAGATGTTTCTACTGAGTTGAAACCAAAACCAAGAAGAAAAAGTTCGATCAAGTATGGTAGAAGGCGATCAGATGCTGTCTTGCCCGAGCTTAAATTTGAATTTGATAATCCTGAACAAGATGAAGTTTCATCAGTTGAAGAATTTCACGCTGCTCCTGTGGATCAACAGGAAGAAGAAGACTTGGGTGAAGATTTAGGTGAAGAAGTTGATGTTGACTTTTCTTCAAATATTCCATTAGATACTTTTGATTTTGAACATCAATTAATGGATGTTCCAAGAATTGGTGAAGAAGAATTGAATTCTGATGCTGAGTATGAATTCAACGAAGATGAGTTGATTGCTACTCTCGCCGAGAATGACGATGACGATGGTCTTTTGGATACACCTACCACCAATACTACTCCAAAAGAAGTTAGCAGACACAACTCTATTAGTTCATCGAATGTGGAAGATTTTGATGACGATGATGATGATAACGATCCATTTTTGAAAGAAGAAGAGAAATTCTTAGTCAAAGAGTTTGAAGACAATGGATTTGATGAAGAAGAAGGAGACGGTGATGACTTTGATTTATTTGAAACTGAATTTAATACAAATGAGCCAATTGTGAAGTATGAAAGCAATCATTCAAGTACCAGTGATGATGAATTGATAAACTTGGATTTCAACACCAACCCTTCAAAGAAAAAGAACCACCATAGTGAAGATTTTGATGACAATACTTACTTGTTCAATTACTTTTTCTCGTCTGATAACGAATCATCAAGTGATGAAATTGATATTAATATGGCGGATGCTGATGAATTATTTAGAGAAGGTATTGCCGATGATAATACAACAACAGCAACTCCTAATCAAAATCCAAATCAAACTCCTAGTAACAAATCTCCTGCTGAAGCATCGGAAGATTCTAATTATGATCTTCATAAAACCTTGTTTGATAATGATGGATTTGATGGATATGAATCGGGAGAAAGTACTGAAGAAGAACTTGATCTTCCACAACCAAATAAGAAAATTCAATCTTTTACTAAACCAAGTGAAGTTATTTCCAATGGTGCTGATCCACGTCCACCAGTTATTGGAACTTGGGTTACTTCAAATTATAAACCATTCAAGGTTATTGATGGTTCATCAGTATTATCTTTGGTTAGTCCACAGAACAACCCAAGAAAAGGTGTTATTGTACAATCTCCACATATTGCTTCCTCTGAAGATCTGGCCATTGGTTTAGATGAATTGTTGAATGTTGAATTGATTGATGATGGAAATATTGATGAAAATGATATTAAAATTTGGAGAGAATTTAATAATGATAATAAAAAGAAGATTCCATTGGGTGCATTCAGAAATAAATCAGT